TGCTTACACGTCAATGCAACTACCAAGGATGTTTAAATTTTAACCATTAGATGGATAACTCAACTAAACAATGAATATTTTATATAATATTCCATGAGTTTGGTACTTGAATTCCTTAAATGGTACTACAGTTTTTAGTGAAGTGCTATACAAGCCAGCAATTTTAATAATTTCCTCCACTTGTCGAACTTTATTTAGTTATTTTCTGAAACGAAACGATGGGTCGCCGGCGCAGGCTTCACCGTCGCATGACCCAAGCCCATTTGTCCAATTATAATGCCCTTGTCGCATAAACTGGGAAATGCTAAATATTTGCGATTTGCACTTGAGATAAAATTGCAATAGGGCCTTATGAGTTAATAAACATGTGCGGCTAAAAGGGTCTATTTAAAAAACAGGAGCGCTAAGTGGGTCCTTCGTAAAAATAATAAATATCAAAACAAAAACTAATTAATGAACTAATAAATTTAATTTTAAAAAGTTAATAGAAATAGTTACTTTATAAGTTTTTTGTCAAAAACCCCTTAGCAACCGCTCCTGAATTAAAAAATAGAACATTAGCCACCTTGTTTGCCACATGCAACGTCCTTAAACTTGGCAGTTACCTTTGGTCCTTCGCCTAACTAATATGGAAAATCGTGGAGCGGAGCTTATACTTCAGGAACACAATATTATCAAATCCCTACAACCGGGGAATATTTCCGAAGTACCAGCCCACATCCAACTGATCAACAATACCTTTGTTTTGGAGCTGCTTTTTGGAATCACTCAGCTATATCACTTTAAAAACTTTATTTTCTACATATCCGAACGATTGAATCTGAAGAACAAAGATGCTCACGAGTTCTTCCTCGGTTTCTGGACAACCTTTCCACTCGCTCCCAACCTGATCATAACCCGGGAGTACGAGGCTCACATTCCAATGATTCAGTTCATCAGTACTCCGTCCCTCGTAATGATCTACACCACCGCCCGAGATGATCCCATCATGGAGCTGGCCGCCCAGAGTCTGCAGGGAATTCGGTGGCTCAAGACGATCTTTGTACTTTTTCCCAGCTTAAGTAGCCGTGATTTTGATTCTAATCTGGAGTCCTTTGCTCAGTTTTCAGCCGAGATCAAGGACATCTATGACTGGGTGTGGAGCAAGCAGTTTATCAACACGGTGATTGTTACCATTAAGGACAACGTATTCCTCTTAGAGCCTTATCCCGCACCAGCGGTGGTGAATGTGACAGGCTCGTGGCAAGCCGAGGACTTCTTTATAAAATATTCCAAGAACATGAAGGGCTATGAGGTCCGTACCCCCATCCTGTACGATTTACCCAGGGTTTTCAAATCAGATCGCCCAACCAATGGATATGAGAAGAACTTCGTTCACGGCACAAGTGGCAACTTGTTCCTGGGCTTCTTGCACTTCGTCAATGCCACTCTGGTGGACACCACAGCGAATATGACAACGAACTATTTGAATATCACAACTCTGCTGGAACTGGTGGCACAGGGAGTGTACGAGACCCTGATTCATTCGTATACGGAACTCACGGTGAAGCATGTAGTTTCCTATAGCTATCCCATTGGCATTAATGATTGCTGCATCATGGTTCCCTTTCAAAACCAATCACCGGAGGATCAATATATGCGCGAGGCACTCCAGGGCAATGTTTGGATTTTGATTATATTTTTCACGTTGTACATAGCCCTGGCCATTTGGGTGTGTTCGCCCCTGAGACCTCGCGACTTCAGTGCCGCCTTTTTGCAATCAATTTGCACTTTAACGTACAGTGCGCCCACTTTTATTATAAAAACGCCAACGTGGCGTATGCGTTATTTGTACGTTGTGCTGGCCATCATGGGCATTGTTACATCTAACATGTACATTTCACGGATGACTAGTTACTTTACCACCGCCCCGGCTCAGCACCAGGTAAACACTGTGGATGATGTGGTAAACGCCAATCTGAGGATCCTGATGCTCTCCTTGGAACGGGAACGGATGGAGAAGTCGCCGCGGCAGTATCCTCCAAGCTATATGCGTCAGGTGGACACGGTGGATAAGCATGTTATGGATATGCATCGTGAGCCGTTTAACACCTCCTTTGGCTACACGGTCAGCAGCGATCGATGGCGTTACCTGGACATGCAGCAGAACCACCTGCGGAAGCCCATCTTCCGTCTGTCGGACATCTGCGAGGGTCCCTTCTACCATGTGTTTCCCATGAAGCTTGACTCCCATCTCCGCTCGCCCATGACGGAGTACATCATGATTGCCCAGCAGGCGGGTCTGATGAATCACTGGAAGCGTGAGGCCTTCTGGGAGGCCATCCATCTGGGCAGGGTAAAGGTGCACATCGTCGACGAGGAGCCCAAGGCTCTCAGTCTGAGCTTCTTCTCCAGTATGCTGCGCACTTGGACCTTTGGCCTGGTGGTCGCCGGTTTGGCCTTTGCCGCCGAAATGAAATGGTATCAGTATGCGACCCTTAGGCGAACTCCTCAGGTGCCGTTGTCAAGGAAACGGAGATCCTTCATAAGACGCTTCATGAGGTTATGATAAGTGCTTGTATCTCTTTTTCTTTTTGGTAAAAAATAAAAATCATAAATGAAATAAGCTATACTTTAGTAGATGCCCAAAAACTTCACACCTTTAAATTCAATTGGCTTTAAGTTATACCTTTTTTGCATGGTAATATTAAATTTGTATCATTACAAATTGCTTTACCTTTAAATGTCACTCAATAATTTTACAAAATTGACTTTTAAAAGTCTTGTTTAATGTTTATTGATTTTGAATCATTTGTATTGCTGATTATATAGCATTTTAATCTCATTACAATAAAATAAACGAATAAAAGAGCATTTCGAACAAGCTGAATTTATAATTAATTCGGCTTTAATTCTTCACAATTCGTAATTACGATTCCTGGAAAGTAATTCCAGGACAAAAATTAACCCAGCCAGGATACTCATCACCAACAGCAAAATAAAGGCAATAGCCAGATGCAGCAAACCAGCGGATGTGTACTCCTGTCGCTCCTGGAATCGCTCCACCAATCCGGCATGGAGGGCGGAACCGAAGCTGCTCCTGGCATAGAAATTCAACAGCCCCGAGGAATGAATGCGGAATGTAAAGTATTCAATGTCCCTCCAGAGGGAGGAGTCCATTTGGAGGGGAAAGGCCAAGTGATAGGATCCGAAGCAAATGCTGCTCATCTTAAAAAGTCGCTGCTTTAAATGCTTTTGTTGCTCGTCGAGAAACTGCCAGTGGTCCTCGGTAATAAAGTAGGCAAAGGAGCTATTAAACTTGGTCTGATGTTCCGCAAAAATACCCGCATCCACCGGTCTCAGCAGCTTGAGAAATTCCTCGGGCAATTCCTTATTCAGATTCAGCAGAAACTCCATTTCATAGTCAATTATCATGACAGGCAATTGGGCACTGATTACATCGTCCATGGTGTTTATCTGGGCATGAAAGAGATTCACGGTCAGAATGCTTCCCAGATTCGAAGTGTAATTCGCCGATAAGAAGAATCCGTGAAAGAAAACCGTGGCCAGGAGAAGGAATCGTAGAAGGCACGGCCTCTGGAGTTGCCCCTCCGTTGGTACGTTGATAATAAAACAGAAGGAATCAAAAATGGAACTGTGGTATCCTGACCAACCTCCGAAAATCCTCAGCCACATGAGTTCCACGAGAATCAGAGAAAACAAAGCTCCCAGAGCAAAGAACCACACAGTCCAGGCAAAGGGCTGCAGGGGGTAGAAGAATGTAGACACACTATTGTAGAGTGGCACCATCAAACACCACTGGACAACCAGCAGGGGATATGTCTTCTCCAGCTCATCATCGGGCATAAACAGGGCATAGGCATGGGCACAAAACTCCATCTTACGTTCCCTCACCAACTGCAAAGTGGCATTCATGTTGATCACCTGACCTCCAAGGCCATCCGGTGGCATTTGCATCGCCTTAAATGTCCCATTTATGAATTCCACAAAGGTGTCAATGATTCTGAAGGTGCTGCCATCATAACGTCCACGGGACTTGAAGAGATGAGGCAGATCCTGTCGCAAGGGCGTTTCGAATCCATATCCCTCCGCATCCGATCGGGCGTTCAAAACCTTTTTCATAGCCGTGAGAAAGAACTTGTTGAAATCGGTTCGATTCATAAACTCCATCGTGGGGAACTTGACAGCTCCATATAGCTGATTAATGCCCGTCTCAGACTCGAAATAAATTAAAGAATTTATAAATTGTTGATCGTAGGCGAAGAAGAGCAGATCGTTAATAGGCTGCATATCACTAACTTTGTACACATACATTATCACCGAGAAGTAAAAGTGTCTTCCTAGTAGTACTTTTTTGAAAACATTCATGATTGGGTCATCAGCTCCAGTTGTGAAGACGAAACTCAAGTGATTCCTTCGAGCTGGCGAACGATTCATTCTCATCTCCGTGTTATTGTTGACCACCGTTTGGGTGGCGGTCGCTCCGAAGACCTCGTCCATTCGCCGAATGAATTCATCCAGTTCCTCAAGGTCTACTTTTGGACTTACAAACCAAACGAGCTCTTGGAAGGCATTAAAACGTGCGAACGGAGATAAAAGTTTCATCAAATAGGGCATGTTCCAGCCACCAATAGAAGATACTTTGATAAGCAGGAGCAGAAAGTGAATTTTTATAAAAAACCGCATGACTTTGCACAAGGAGTTTCCAAGGTTTAATAACCATTGGCTCCGATAAGATACTCCTTGGGTTGGTTTTGCTTTAATTAATCCCACAGGACCACTTAACCCTGGACTCCCAGACCTCAAACAAACAATGTTATGCTACTCATTCGATAAGTATTTGGAGCACAAAGGGTAGTACTCGGCTAATCAGAGACTCAAGCATGTCTGGTTTTTGTTAATTAATCCCTTGATAGCTATTTGTGAACATTATTAACTTTACTTGATTGAATTTCACAGAAGCATTAAAACCTTAACGTTACAAACTTGAAAGAATAAAACTAACCATCGCAGCACTCGAAGCGATCGTATTGCAGTCTCCTTGCCTTCCATCGATGGACGTAAATCTCCAAACACCAGACCAGAGTACTGAGAGGTATTCCCAGGGCCAAGACGATCCAGCCCGTTAAAAAGAAGTGAAGATTCAATGGCTCCACGGGGTAGGTGTCCAGGAATATTTTTGCATAGCCAGCAAGACGAGCGTGGTAGAAAGCCACCTCCTCCCAGTGCGACCAGAGACCCGCCTGCCAGGCATTGAGTATGAAGTGGTCCAGGGAAATGGCAAAGCTGGCATTGATGCTCATGGGCAGGGCACTGAAGAGGCCACCGAAACACACCTGAGACCGATGGAAATACGGCTGAATGAGCACACGCTGCTGCCGGTTAAAGAATCGCCAAGCATCTTGGGTGACCACGTAGGCATGCAGGCGCGAAGGACTCGAGAGCAGGGCCTGGTAATCCTGTCAGCTATGCGAGTCGAATTGAGGCTCCAGCGGGGCAGTATCAACCGCCGCGAGAAGGCGCAGTTCGTCCAGCAATATTTCCGGAATAACAATTCGCAATCGGGAACGAATCAAATCCGACCAGGTATCAATGGGGCGAACGAATACCGGCCTCATGTCGTAGACCGTCATGTGACTGATGTGGTAGTTGGTAATGATGAAGCCAAAGACGAACAGCAAGGTGTAGAAGAGGATCACCCGCAGGGAAGCGTGTTTCAGCTTCAGGGCCATGTTCATATTGGGGCTAAACATCAGAATGGCCATGGCCTGGAGCACGTTTCTGGTGTAGTCACGGGATATACTCTTATGCTCCCTCCAGTGCACGTACCTCAGCATCAGGGCCACGTAGAAGGTACCCAGGAAGAGGCACGTCCATATGTACCTGCCCAGTGGCCACACCATGTACATCCATTTGGGCAGTTCCGGAGCCAGAGGAACCATCACACAATTGGTCATCACCTCCAGTGGGTAGCTGTACCGAATCAACTCAAAGTGATCGCCCAGGCTGTCGGGTCGCATTGTCACTCCATGGAGTGAGAGATTGTAGACGCCTTCCACAATATCCTCCTCCAGCACCGACTTCTTGGGCAAGCTCTCGATCGGGTCGAGAAACAGCTTGTAGTGCTGGGTCTTGGCAAACTGCTGGACAAGCTCCATGTAGGGACCACAGTATCTGAAAATCCGTCGCTCAGAATTGTTGTAGATGAAAGCGTGGGGAATCTCGAAGCTATATGGCGTATGGAGTTCGCCATTTTCCACGTCCGTGTCAACCGACATCCTATGGCCGACTATTAAGAATGACATCGTTCAAAACCCGTTTATATAGAGTCTAAATGACATAGCTTCGCACGCAAAAAACTGACCCTGAACCTGGCAAAATGGAAACCTGGCAGACTGGCTGGCACCAATGTTATCCGGTTCACTTGACTGCTAAAGTTCAAAGATCCGTCTGTATCCGGGTATTTAATGGCACGTTTTTGTGTCCTGCCGATTATCGGACACAGATTGTAAATCTATATAAATTCCACACACTCATAGATGAATGGCAGTTCGCTGTAAATTTATATGGCACTTATCAAAAATATAGTATATCTCTGTATGGGCATTCTACAAAACCCGAATGGACTTTGTTATGTAACCCAAATTCCCATCCTTTGTATAGTTATTGGAGCGCGAGTACTTTCACGTTATATAAAAAGCGTCCAGTTTTTTATGGCCAAAATAAAATATTGAAAAAACAAAAGTATAGTCCACAAAAGTCACACAAAAAATTCCCACGTGTTTTTATGTCTTTGTACATTGGTGTGTTTTGTGTGTGTGTGAATTGGCAGCTTTCATGTAAATACTTTTCAATTTTTTAGGGCTTCGGTCAAACAAAATGGGCGACGATTTCCACAATCCCCAGCCTACCTCCCCACACCGAGCCAGAAAGGACCCGTGTTTGCAAATGGGCCACAATAAAAAGAAAAACAAAAGTCCCATTGAAATAATATAGCACTTATGGGTAATTACAAAATCGTTGAAGGTAAAATTAAATGAAACTGGATTTTACAAGTTAAGGTTGCTGTTCATGGGCATCCAAGAGGGCAAAGTTAACGAAATGGGCAGGGATATGTGGGTATTTTTTTTAAATTTATGGTGAAACTGTAAAAAACTGACTTTTATACAAATTAATTGAACCAAAAACAATAAAGGAGAGGTAACTTTGGCCAGAGTAGAAGCTTTTACACGCTTTCAGTTATGTGTTGGTATATTGCTTGGGAATCGTGCCATATTGGTTATTTTAAACAAAAAAATTAAGTACCCCCTGTAAGAGTATAAAAAACAATCAATAAATCTTTTGCGAATATATAAATCAATTTGGCAAAAGTTGTATAAATGGAAAGTGAAAACCAAAGGGAAAAGCAATGACTCATGATTTTCCTAGCTACCAGAGCTCTTAAATATATATACACATCATAATATATAAATCATTTACTCCACAATGAATATGAAAATTTTAAACAGTTTTGAAATTCTGAATTACTGACCTTTTGTTTATAGGACTTTAAATTCAGTTTACATAAATTTCTATTTATTATTTCTACACTTCGTATTTGTTCTACATTTTGGAATTTCTCTATAATCTAGGAAAAATAAACACACACCTCATTAGCTTACAGTTAATTAGTTTTTGGCCATTATTTAATTTGTGCAGTCACCGCAAATTTCAAAATGAATAGGATTGGGTTTAATGCAAGTATATATTTTACCAATGTGGTCAGCAGAGAGGATTTAAGTAATATCTTTAGCCATTTAAATGAACTGTTTGTTAAGGCACCTGTTTGGATTTGTAAACCCCATATAAAATATGGAAAAAATACAATCTTTTTTAAATTTATTCATCGTTTTTCTTTTGAGGGCGGTAACAAAAGCAGGGTTTTGACAAGACCCTGCTGATAGCAAAACAATTTTGGGGCAGCCACTGGAACATGGTTGCGAAAATGTAGTTATTTATAAACCAAAATCTTGTTATCGTTAGACAGTTTCCTAAGCTTTTGGCCTTAACTTTTCTTTGACGGCATTGAGTTTGTTGCTGCCACATAAACGTGTTGCTACCAGGTTGTGTCTAAGAACTACAAAAGTTTTTATAACCAAAATAACCGCGTTTTTATTGGTGCTACAATTAAAATATATTCTGGTCAAGGTTTTTAATCAATATTTGTATAATTCATCTACAAATTACACATCAATTAAACAATCAGCAATATGTGTGTTATTAGAATCAATATTATCTCAATTTAATTTAATTAAATTCGATTGAGCAAAAAAAATGTCCAAAGCAAGCCTCATTATTGACCTAACCTTTGACATCTTTTTTCTCCATTGGAAAAAATACCCCTAAGGCATCCCAGAGATTAAACATAATTGATTTATTTAATCTATACTAGGAAAACCGCACACGTTTTGCTGCAGGAGAGAAAAGCACCTGTGCTTTCAATTGTCCTGCCTTGCGGCAAAGGTTTTGCGAATCCAACAGCGGCTGGCTTTGACTTGAATTTTAATTTAATTGTAAGCAATTGACAGAAATACACAAAACCCACTCAAACTCAGCAGCAGTTCCACAGAACGATATTAAGACGCTGCCAGCTGGTGTTGACATAAAAATGCAATAAAAAATACGGCCAACCAAACCGAAACGGACGTAAACGTAAGGATCAATATAAAAATGAATCTAGTAATACCCTACTGAAGGAATATGCTTCGTAAACTAGAAATTATATAGAGAATAAGTAGTGATAGAAGACATGATTTTCAGTTCTTAAACATTAACCTTATGAGCTTAGAAAAGTTAAGTACTTAGTTCGAATAAAAAACCTTCTATATAAATGGTCAAATATTTATATATTTTAAAATCTTTAAGAACTTTTCCTCCTCAAAGTCCTCAAAGTCTCCCCTATTTCTCGTTCAAACTAGAGGGTATTGGCCAAAAAATCACTCAAAATCAATTGAATGTGGCCAGCACTGGTTTTTGGCTGTAGCATTGAGGGAAATCAACGTGAAAATAGCTACGACAATGCGTTTTGTTGTCGTTTGGGTAGCAAGAAGTGCTTATTGGATTTCCGCCGTGAGGAGCCACTGACAGCGTTCGGTAGTCATGACATTACGTATACGTAGTGGAGGAGAGCCGCGGCTGCCAGAGACAGCTGATACGGCGGTGCCCTGATTAAACAGCCGGAACCGTGGCGGCTATAATTGCTCCAATTCGGAGGGAATCTTTTCTAGCGGCAGCCCACACACTCACATCCCACTGGAATTTAACTTTTCCGCAATAAAATGGCCAGGACTCATGTGAGACAATCGTATTATTTACCATACACAATACAATACATGTACAATGGCCATTTCCATGCCGATTCATTGAAAATAAAGTAAAAATACAAATATTAACCACAAAAGCCCAGCTCCCATCTGCCTAGGGTTTGGTGGGGTGGAAATGGGAGTGTAAAGTGGAACTGGGACTCCCAGGAATTGGGCGTGGGTCGGTGTACGGATGGGTGGGTGTGTGGATGGTGGTGGGTGCAGTCTTCTGTATTTATGCATTTACATTGTCTGTATGTATGTATGTATGTATGTGCGTGTGGGTGGGCATATTGAATGGATAAAAGGGATTTGCGTTTATTTCGTTCTGTGTCTGGCCGGTTGAGTCCTACATATGTATATGACCTGTCTATATGGCCGATGTCTGCCGTTTTTCCCGTTTCGAAACGCAACACTCCGGAAATATTTTGTTGTGCCATTTCCATTGTTATACAATTTTGCTTAACAGCGGCCATGGCCGGTCCCGAAGCCATTTTATATTTCATAAACAAGAAAATATGGGCATTCACGTCAAGTTGTTTCAAGCAATTGTCATTTCATTTTATTCATATTTTAACAATAAATAATCTTATTGTATGAGTTTCTTTATATTTATTTTATGCTCGTGGCAAATACAAGTGCCACAATACTTTTAAATTTAAATTTAACTTGCACTAGCTAAGACAGAAACCTTTGAGACTATGAAAGCCAAGGCATAAACCTTAAACTATCGGCTACACTGAACGAATAAAAACTTACTGCCTACTGAGGTTTAGGTGAAAAGCCTTTCTATAAAATAAAGGCATTTCAAAATAGCAATCAGAATAAAGGAATATAATATCTAGTTAAGAAAACTTGCTTAATTTCATAAGAACTGTTCGAAATTCTTCCATGTCAGAGTTCTTCCAGTTTGCGTCTTAAACAAGCAACGGAAATGATCGTTTGAGCTCTGCTAATTGAGTATAAAATGCACAAAAACTTGTAAGGGGGGAGACACAAACAAACTCTCTTAAATCATCTCAAAATGTTACATATATTTTTGGTACCTGACAATTAGCTACAAAATTAAATATGTAAATGCAAAACTACATAAATAAATTACACAATGGCAACGCAGCAAGTGCACGTTTTAGTTAAAACTTGTTTGCAATTATAAGTGCTATTGTACGTGTCTCTGGCAGTGGCAGCGACCTCAAAATCAAATTATAATTTAAAATAAACTAAAAACTAAACAAATAACAAATTTTAGCACGTGTACGCAAAAATGAGATAGACAAGGTGGAGTGAGGTCCTTTCTACTGGCTCTTCTTTGACTCCTTGGCGGCAACGGGCAGTCGCTCCACAGCCTCCTTGTAGAGTTGGTTCAGTCCGAAGGCGGCGCGCACGTTGTCGCTGGAGAAGAAGAACTTTTGCAGCTTGCCCTTGCTGTCAATGCAGGGCCGGCGATCCGATTCTTTGCCCTGCTGAAACAGCACCACTGTGGGTAGCTGACGAGAGAAGCTGCTGTCCGAGATTCTGTACTTCTGGGCCACGTCCGGAAAGCGTCCAATGTCGATCTTGCCGAACTTAAGGTGGTCCGTGTTGTACTCAGCTGAAAGTTCAGCAAAGACGGGAGCAAAGTTGACGCAGCTCGGGTTCCACACGGTGTAGAAGCAAATAAGCCAGCTGGTGCGCTTGTCCCGGGCCAGCTCCTCCTCGAATACCTGTGCGTTGCGGAAGTAGGTGATGTGCTCGGGGCCGCGGTACGAGGGCTCAGGTAGCACCATGCCCACTAGCACACATACCAGAAGGAAGCCCAGACCATAGCGGAAGTCCGCGTAGGCCCACAGAATGCCATTTGCTACCTTGGTGTACAGAAACGATGAGGAGAGGTAGTTTATCATGGTGACACTGCCTGTTTTGCGCGATCGTATCATCACAACGATTAAAAGGAAGAACAGTATCTCCACCTCGCGACTGTCCAGATCGCAATCACCATCCTCCTCGGTCAAGTTGAACAGGCGGGTGCAGATAAACCTTGTCTTCTTGGAGATTAGGTACGATATGGCCAGCAGGATGTTGACCCAATAGTAGGGCTTCGCCAGTATGGCCAGCTGCTTCTTCCACGTCATTGCGTCGTCCCGGGTCTGTGTATGCCGATCTGGGTCAAGTTTTTAATTAACAATTTTCCAAGTTTTTCTTTTCTCGCCTGATTGTTAATTTTAGCAACGCCGTTGAGTGATAATTCCTAGCTTGGAAAACTATAGTGGAGTTGCCACCTAGACAAAATCAGCTGGCGAAGTCCAGTGTTGTAAATCAGTCCAAACAAGATGGCGCCAAACTCATATTCAAATAAAATTTGAAAATATTCCCGGCAGCTGATAAATGTTTGACATTGTTACGTCAGCTTTTTGCCAGAGTCATTGGCGGATTGTTGAACTCCGTTAAGGAGGCCACTGCAAAATGAAAAAAAAAGACAAAATCAACGAGGATCTTGGTTATCGCACACATGCCGAACTTTAATCGCCAGTATAAAGACTGGCTTTACGTGAACTTTCTCGCTCGTGTCTGCCATCAGTACTCATTATCATTAAGATTTATTTTGGGCCTCCACCTTCTTTTATTTACTTTTTGTTTAGTTTGTGTTTGAAACTGTGTGAATACTGTGTGAAAATGTACTTAATCCATAATTGTAGTGTTATCTGTAGCGTGACTGGCTCTCAGAATTGTGCAAAGATTATTTTCTTTATTTTTGTAGTAAACACATTGCGCGTCACTGAATTAAATGATTTACTTTTAAATGTATTATTGGGACCGTTTAACGAGGGTCATTTCCATGATCCCCAACGAATCGCCTACCTATATACTGGTTTTCAGTAGTGGGCATTTCTTTGTTTCATCTTGGTTTCATATATTGCTCTTTATAAGCTTATGAACTGAAGGGGCTCTTAGCTATATAGCTGATTTTAATATAGTAACGAAAAGCAAGGCTTTAGCTCTTAAATTGCAAACATGGATGTCATTAATACTATAAAAAGAAAGGATTTCGTTTGAATAGATCTACTTATAATTCATTTTTGGATTTCTAATAGCTTTAAGTTTCTGGGAAATCCCTAAATCGTGACTAATTTGCTTGGATTCACTATCTAAGGTGTACCAGTACCTTGATTGTTTTTATGTCTTTATTCAAAACAACATTATAAATAAATACTACAATAATTTAAAGATGAAGTAAACAACCTGCACATAGGTCAGTTCTTAATATAATTACTCCGGACTACGTGCCAGTGGTGTGGGAACCAGTTTAATCTGGATTAAAATAAAATCTCGAGAGATAACCGGGTACACTGTCAACTAAAAGCTGGGAATGTGATCCCTTAATCTTGCCTATTCAAGCTCAAATCATATCGATCGATTCGGACCTTAAGCTACCACCAAATTTTCTGTATCAGGAACATCTACTTCCCGACCCGACATCATCACTCTCGCAGATCGGGAGAGCTTGGAAACAAATAGACCTCGGAGTAAAGTATAAACCAAAACAAGGGGAACTGGACCTGATAATGGGAACAAAATGGCGATCAATTGCCGGCTCTATTATCGCGCTATCAAGGCAACCTGATCTCCTGTCTGTCGCTCTTATCAGCCACAAAAGCCCAGAAGCCTCGATCCGAACACGCGCTCTATAAATTCCCATCCTAACCGGGCGGCGGCTTCAGTTCATTTCTGAACCCAAGTATCGACGAGAGTCAGTCAAAGCTTCTTCCCAGATCATCGAGCGAAACCCGATCAATAACGATTGGCATTAAATGCCTACCGGACTACAGTGACAAAAAGAAAAACATTTAATTGGTTTTATAGTAAAATCAAGGGAAATATTTCCAAATTAACGAAATATTCCCAGTTATAATTTAAAACGAAACTCGGTCTTTGCCATTTGAATGCTGCTGCAGCTGAGCCAAACAATCAACAACCTCGATCAGCATTTGGAAGAGTGCTGGAATCAGAAGAACATTCTGAGCAACTTTGATATATTTTCAGTTTTGAGTACCATTTCCTTAAGCAGTAAGTGGTGATTTTATTAAATTCTATATAGTATTGGATTCTAATGAAGGGTTTTTTCCCAATAGCTATTAAAATGGCCGCCATTCCCCAAGGTGCCTTCGCAGCCTGCAAGCTCCGTGAGCAATACAACGAACGCGAAATGATCGTGGCCCGTTTGAGGTCCGCTGCATCATCTGACAAGGGTTCCCTTGACAACTCACTAGCTCGTAAGTATTAACCCTCCTCAGTGGGTTAATCGATCACTGATACACATTCCTGCACCTTCCAGAGCGCGACTATTCGCCCAACAAGTACAATGACAAGCTGATGAACTCCATCTGGGGCCTCTACAATCGCTATTCTCCCCACAACGTGAAGAAGAACGAGTATGCTCCCACCAAGTGATGACCTAATCGGGGGCCCTGCAGTTTCCTAAAAGGTCTAACTGCAGTCCCCCAAAATCCGCCAGAATTTCTGGCAAAGAAAAACAATATATATCCTCAACTATATAATCTCATATCTATAAACATTTGGTAACAAATATCAATTTTATTATTTTATGTTTGTTTGTTTTGTAAAATTCAATAAATACTTATGATATTGTATGTAAAGGGACAAAACCATGAAGCGTAAATTAATTTAAATAGCAGGACTCGTAGGTCGGAACCATATACTTGATATTGATAAAAGCATCTTCGCCGCCATGGAGCTCCAGGACCTGGAGCGTCTCATCGATAAGATCGCCAAGATTTAGGTTGTTCTTCTGGGCATAATCGATTTCATCACCACAATTCACTAAAAATTTATTTATTTATTTAATTAAGTTCTGGAAAAGTTTGTAAACTAATTTAACTTACAGTTTTTCACCTTAAAGGCATTAAACATGGGCAGCAATTGTCGGTAGAAGGGAACTAGGGCAGGGCCCACCAAATCCGAGGACATGACCAGCTGTTGGATTATCTTCAATGTCGTGCACATTACCTCCAGGTTACGGGTGCTCAGTGCGTCTGAAATGAGGTGGGCGGATTTTCGATTCGCAAGGTGCAAATTAGACCAAAAAGTTCGAGGCATTTGCGTGCCAGCCACAGCCCTGGTACTCACTCTTCAAAGGTAAAATTAATTGCGGTATCACTGGGTGTATTTTTTCGCCTCCGGCCAGCAGCAGGTCCGTGACTCCCTGGCGGGCATAGGTCTTGTATGGATGCTTCGTTTCCGCCAATCCGTCGAAGAACAGTGGCAAGTAGAGGCTGTAGTCCAGCTTGTCGATGTCCACCTGTGTAGAAACCCGGAAAGGAGTTGAAAATAATTCTGGGAATTTCAATTTGTTTCGTGTTTTTTTGGGAGGTGGTGGTGCAAGTTTCGCAAGTGTACATTTGCACGCTAGGCTGCTTAGGTTTCGTTGATTTCCATTAAGATGCTCTTTGTTTGTTTACGTTGTCAATGAAATTTTTTTTGGTTTGAACAAAGGGCAATACGGGAACCTGTATACCTGTACTCACTTAGTATACGTCTAGACTAATCTTTTCTTTGGGAAAATGCATTTACCCGAGGTTTGATCCGGTAATCGAAACACCTGATTATTTGCATCACCTTTGTAAAAATAGAACGCCCAGTAAACTGGATTAGTTCTGAGGTGTCAATAGATTAACTTGGCGCTATCTCTAACATCGTAACTGCGTGAAGACCTATGACCTTCGTCCCTGTGACGCAAATAAATAGGAGTCACCCACATATCACTCGTATGCACACGAACTGTCACGTTGCCATTCCAGCCTAGATAAACAAACGCACTCCATACACATACCATATGTGGCTCCCCAAACCCCAAGGACTATGACATTGAACCGCCCTAAAGGGTCACACACCTGGCAAAAGGTGGAACCACCAACTGGGTGATGGGCAGCAGTTTCAAAACTGCAACAGAACTGACAGACGGACGGTGCGACGTTTTGAATGTCAGCAGTTGCATTCCGGCCGGAATTGCTCTACTGACTCCGGAAATAGACAATGTCATATTATTTACTCGTTGCTATTTTATAGCTCTGTAACACTTGAAATAATTGAACACGCAGGTGTATGAAATTCAAGCAAAACTCAAATATGGGCAATAGGTAGGTCACTGGATGTGATTGGTAAGGTTACCCGTATTTTATTAGTGACAGTTACGAAATTCTAGTTGATTTCCACTGCCTCACATTGGTGCTGGAATGACTGAAACCTCTTTTGACACTAAGAAGGTTCTGGTAGGGTAAACTTTGATCCAGAACTACCCCTAGAAGACTAAGGTTTTTCAAAAATCATAGACTAAGTAGATCCCTTACCGTCCATCCGATTTTATCGCCTCCACACAAGTACTCCATCTTGATGGGCAAGTCACCACGATCAAAGTACATCCGAAAGAGGGTGCCTCGACCTGGATCATTGCCTCCACCCTGGGTACACCCATTTATTCCCAAACCCAAATTAAAGGTGGACATGGACTTCTGTTGCCGTCGCAGACCTGGAAATCATAACGAAAGCACGGGAAGTCATTAGGAAAACAAATAACCAACTCCACCACGACACGACGCACTTTTTGGGTTGGGGTTACGCCCCCTGGCACTCGCGGTTTTTGGGGCACACTCGTGGATGGGGCCATCGATGACAACGGTGTTCTTTTGCTGCGACTGAATGGAAAAGGGCGGCACGTAGCGAGGTCGGGAGGAAACTGCCGCCCCATGGATGCCACTCAGCGGACGGAGCTGGGTGGGATTCGCGGATTTGGAACGTTGCTTCTGCGAGATGTGAAAGTCATTCACCGGACCCGGACGTCTTCCCGTGGCGGTGCGTGCCGTTTGGGCCATCTTAGCCGTCGGTAGTGCAAACGCGAAATGGATGTGCCGCCACGTAGTGTAAACAGCCAACTGACGAGCGAAGGAATTTTCTAGCCTGGCACACCCCCCACATCGAAGTTGCTGCTCCTGGTGTGTTGGCGTTGCTGTTGGGTGTCCGTGTCGTGTCGTTTCTATGGAGCACGTTGCTAGGGTGCTTTTGGCGGCTTAGTGACCGATAAGCCAATTGCTAATACAGCCGAGCGGCATGGGCTTACATGCTAGTATCGCGGTGCTCTCTTCCAGCCACAGCTCCGTCGCCACCGTTGCGGTGATTTATAATAATAACGAATTCCGAAAGCGAATGCAAAGCCGGTTAGCTTGGTTAGCCCCAAAGGCGCCAGTTATGTTTGCATATTGCTTGCATGCATCAGATTCATAATCTCGGCCAGCTCACTGATTTACAATTTCGTTTTTTGTTTTATTAAGCTTTTAGGGTCAGTGACCCCGAGTCCGAGCTGATTGGATCAGATAATTAAGACAAATTTGTAAGAACTTTTGTCGATAGAGAAGTGCACCTGTCAATCTTTATTATAAAACAAGGCAGAAATGCAATCATGTAAAATCATACGACATACGACTAGATTAGTTATAAGTATGTTTAAATGTTGAAAATGTTACAATATTCTTTTAATAAATTAATATACGTGCAATAAACATAGCTATGATTTATTGGAATTTCTTCGTTAAAAAGGTCGATTAATTGTTCCCAGCTAATACCTTAAAGATGTATATAAGGCTAAACCTAATATCTAAATGGCAGGCAAAGATTAAAATTTTAAAAAACCGTTTCAATTTGTCCGCCATCCAACCCTTAATTAAGGACGCTTTCCACACTGGCACTTTGTTTACATTTTCCAGCCAGATTGTGCAGCCATCCTACAACACCACGCCGGTCAGGTGTGTTGGAAAGCGTGGGAGAAGAACTCTTGCAATGTTGCCCAACACTGGGAGGGAATAAAGAACAAATGTGTGTGAGAAAATGTCGCTGTAAATTGATGTAATTGTTTTTTCGTGATATATCCAAACCTTGAGGACAAATAAACAACGTCAGTGTGCAACCGGTCGTTTTGGGGGAGCAAAACAATGGCGGGCAACATGTCCTCCAGCACCAACGGGGAGCTGAAGAAGCTTTCGGAGGAGTCCCTGGCGCAGCCGCCGGAGAAGGTGTTCGACATCATGTACAAGCTGGGCGAGGGCAGCTACGGGTCCGTCTACAAGGCCCAGCACAAAGAGAGCAGCTCCATTGTAGCCATCAAGCTGGTGCCGGTCGAGTCAGATCTGCACGAGATCATCAAGGAGATCTCAATTATGCAACAATGTGATTCGCCGTATGTGGTACGTTACTATGGGTCGTACTTCAAGCAATATGACCTCTGGATCTGCATGGAGTACTGTGGAGCCGGCAGCGTTTCGGACATCATGAGACTGCGTAAGAAAACCCTAACGGAGGACGAAATAGCCACCATTCTGTCGGACACGCTGAAGGGTCTGGTCTACCTGCACCTTCGTCGCAAAATCCATAGGGACATTAAGGCTGCCAACATATTGCTCAACACAGAGGGTTATGCCAAACTAGCCGATTTCGGGGTAGCTGGCCAACTCACAGACACAATGGCCAAAAGAAACACTGTGATCGGTACACCCTTCTGGATGGCGCCGGAGGTCATCGAGGAGATTGGCTACGATTGCGTTGCGGACATATGGTCACTCGGAATCACTGCCCTGGAAATGGCTGAGGGAAAACCACCATATGGTGACATCCATCCCATGCGTGCCATTTTCATGATCCCTCAAAAGCCGCCGCCGTCATTCCGAGAGCCAGATCGCTGGAGCACTGAGTTCATAGACTTTGTTAGCAAGTGCCTCGTCAAGGAGCCGGACGACCGAGCGACGGCCACTGAGCTGCTGGAGCACGAATTCATTCGCAATGCCAAACACCGTTCGATTCTGAAACCCATGCTGGAGGAGACCTGTGCCATCCGCGAACAGCAGCGGGCGAACCGAAGTATTGGTGGAGTTGGAATGCTCCAAAACATGTTGGAAACCTCCTTTATGGAGGACCCAGGGACATTAGTGCCGGAGAAAGTCGGAGAGTACCAGCAGAGCTCAGCTTCGGATGCTACCATGATAGCGCATGCAGAGCCAGACTTGGACGAGGGTACTTTGGGGCCGGGTGGCTTAAAGAATCTGAACAAAGGCGGCCCAGCGGCTGGAGCTGCTGCAGCTGCCACTACAGCTTCGCCCCTCGATGGTCCACCCGTCGATACCGGCACCATGGTTGAACTGGAATCCAATTTGGGTAAGAACATTTTTAAAATACCGAATCAACTGGGATTATAATGAATCTTTTCAATTGTAGGCACCATGGTTATCAACTCAGACTCCGATGACTCCACAACGGCCAAGCCCACTGATGATCAGAAGCCACGTAATCGCTACAGACCACAATTTCTGGAGCATTTTGAGCGCAAGAATGCAGGCGATGCCAGGGGCGATGACAAGGCAATGGCCACGGAGTACTCCCCGGCTGCAGCCGAGCAACAGCAGCAGCAGCAACAACAGCAACAGCAGCTACAACAGGAGAAACCGCACTTGGCCAGCGGGGCCAACGATATTACTAACTGGGAGCACAATATGGAAATGCAGTTTCAACAGATCTCCGCTATCAATCAGTATGGGCTGCAGCAACATCAGCAGCTGCAGCACGCTCTCATGGCTTATCCGCTAATGGACGAGCAGCTCATTGCTCTCAACAATCAGCAAAATCTGCTTCGCAACAATGCAGCAGCGCAGGCTATCGGCCAGCAGGGAATTCCGCCAGCGGCTGCGCCTGCAGCTCCGGCCCAGCCGCCGCCCGCATATCAAAATCAGCACATGCATACGCAGTCGCATGCATATGTGGAGGGCGAATTTGAGTTCCTCAAGTTCCTCACCTTTGACGATCTGACACAGCGGCTCAGCAACATCGATCACGAGATGGAGCTGGAAATTGAGCAGCTCAACAAAAAATACAATGCCAAGCGGCAGCCCATTGTGGACGCCATGAATGCGAAGCGCAAACGCCAGCAGAATATCAATAATAATCTGATTAAGATATAGGAATAGCAACTCACAACTTTGCAAGGCAACCGAAATTTGAATTTCAAGTCACGGAAGTGCGTTTGCATTAGATTGAAGCCCAGCTTAAATCACGGAATACCTACAGAGCAATCTGTATCCACTATTAATGTTTCGTAGTTTGGCGAACGTTCAATCTAATGGAAAGGCCTTAACTCAATCACAAGAAATGATAACACAAAAGCTTTATTGTAAAATGCAGTGAAACAGGAATGGAGAATGTGGTCAAAGCCGTGGAGTAGTCGGCAGAATCTTCCAGAATGCACGAATGTTTTTGTTGTTGTTGGTTTTTCCCTTGGTTTTAATCACACTTCTGTTTCGTTTCATTTCTCTCAATGATCTATCTCCTATGATTATTTTTCGTTTCGAATAAAACTTATATTTGGTTTATTGTAGCTGCTGCCTGCATCGTCTACTGCCTGAGCCTTATTCTAATTTGTAAGACTTTACAATTATATTCGTTCTTCCCTGTTAACTATTAACCTTATCACTATGTTTACCATAATTTCGACTTCGTGCAAAAAAGAAAATCGAAATCAGTAACCCGTCAAGCAATAATTATAAAAGAGGAAACATTTTTATACGCATTGGAATGCATATTTTTCGAAAGTATATTTCTCAAAGCAAAATGCACAGAAGCACTCACATATAAACATTTATATATACCTAGTACTTTTAGCAATTATAAATAATTTACATAATAAATATATAGGAATATATGAAGCAAAAACTGTATACAAAATCGATTAAATTCCGTTTAACCTAACAGCAGTGAAGTTTGATGTTTAATAATTGTTAATTGGTCCATTCCAAAACTTATTCTTGAATATCCATTTCCTGAGTCGCCTGCTGCATGTCGTGCAGCTGAGCCCGCAGATCCTCCGGCAGACTGTTTTCGTTCAAGGCACTGGGGTCCTCACCATCAATGACAATTTCCTCCGGATCCGGTGCCCTCGGCAGAAACTCTGCATCTGCATAGAGTTTGTTAAATACTTGCCGGGCATTTGATATGGCTGCATCGTAGTCCAGTTCGAAGGTTGGTGGCTCTGTGTAATGAATGTGTTCGCCTGCAGCACTTTTACTCGATTGGGAAGCAATGGTAAAGTAAGAGCTGAATATAAGTTGCACATCCGAGCGATCGAAAAGTTGGCTGGTAAAGGCGGATAAGTCCGAAGCAGGATCCTCGCTCACAGCAGGTGTAGTAAGGTGAAAAACATCTAAAGAAATATTTTACAAATTTAAAAATTGTTTAATTTTAAATGATTATACTGATCCTTACACAATCCTTCGGGGCATGCCCCAGAATAGTGAGCCAATTGTATTAAGATGGCTTCTCTTTGTCCATCTGCATCCAACAAACGCAACAAATTCACGCCACCGCCACCTTTGTTCAACTCCTCGTTGCCCAATGGGCTGGAGGCCACAAACAATCCACGTGAGATGTGGGGACGCATCTCTACACCCTTCGAAACCGGCGTATAACCAGGTGCGGAGACCACATTTTTGGCACGTAATGTTTTTCCAGCACTGCTCAGAACCAATTCGTTGGTTTCGCCATCCAAGCCAATGTCGTCCACGGCTCTCTTCAGGCAATAGATGCCTCCGTAAACGGCACATAAGCGGCAAAAGCACTGCGGCAGCTCCCCGCACCCGTACATGGGGAACAGGAAAGGCGTATTGCCGTAGCGTCCGAGGCTGCCCAAAAATCGTTGCGTACGCTGCATGCCTTCCTCGAAACTGGTGTTTGGTCCACACATGGCAATGGCCTGCATAACGCAGGAAGAGATCTTTTCGGTGACCCGCTGCGCCTGCAAATACTCGAGGAAAGTGCGCCCACGGAACTCCAATGAGTCCTCATTGCATTTGTCCTCGCCGTAATCATTGCACGCGGTAAGGAATTTCATAAGAAGCCGCTTCTCAACAATTGTCAGGGATTTCGTGTTGAATACATCGCTGCGGGAGCAAGGCACGGATACAATCTCTTCGTTGTGGCGCATGCACACGTGATCCACGGCCCTGAACTCCGCATAGCGGCAGATGTTGGATTTAATGAGCAACTGCACGAGCTCCCCTGCGGCGTAAAGAATGCGTGGGCATAAATCTAAGCTGAAGCGACGAGATTTGGCCATTATGCTGTCACGTGTCCACCGTTGATCCCCCTGAGTCTCCATGGATTCTGTTTCGGTCGCCGTTTCCGCAATATGCCAGGAGTAGCTCGCATTTCGCAACGTGGAATGAGGCTCAACTTCCCTGTCCAGGCGTGCACAATATGTATCCAAACTGAAGGAGCTCCACACATCGCCGTAGTACTCATTGCTATCGATGTGCAGGACGGATTTTCCTATTCTGCTGGCCGCGGCAGCAATGCAGGATTCAGTGAAGCCTGAAAAGGGCGTCCCGAATGAGTCATAAAACACAACAAATGTTTTCCAAGAGTTTACAATACCTGTGCCTATGACCACCAGGTCAAACTGCTCCGGCAAGTCATCCGCCATATTATCTAAACTTTTACTACTATAATTTAACCAGAAATCTCTGTAATTTAGGTATAAATAGTTTGTGAATTAACTGCGAATTTACAAAGAATCAGCTGCTTAGTGATGTGCTATTATCAGTGACGTCACCATTACAAATCAGCTGTTGGCTGATAACTGTGTTGGTAAACACCACAAACTCTGATTAGAATTATTTAAAATTTTATTTTCCTTTTTTTATGCACTCTTTAAATATGGCAAATATGCATCTAATAAAATTTTCACAATTATTTTCTGACCCACAATATTCAAAAATTCAATTATAAAATAAAAAAAATAATAACAGCCACCTGTTGTTCCAAAAACCTGATGCTCCCACAAAAATTCACAGGTGCAATAAAAATACATACACAGCACAGGTGCGCTCGTAGTTGTGGTCACCGCTGCCATGGAAACGAGAAAGCCGTAAACAAAAGCCGGAAAAAATTCTTTACCAGAATGCTGGCTAGAGAAAATTAAAAAAATAGTTTTAAATATAGTCATGTCCTTCGAGAAGATCCTGTACAAATACGACGAACCCCATGGCATCGGAGATGTTTATTTTATTTGGCAGAAGGCTTTGCTGGCCACCACAGGAACCGATGGCTCCGTGGCTTTGTACAACCGCCAGGGGCAGCTGGTGCAGCGCATTATCCTGGCAGGGTGAGATGGGAATAAGGAAAATTAATTCTTAAAAATGACAGTTTAATCCTTTCCAGTCTCTGTTCTGGCTTTGCCTGGGACCATGAAGGCGATGTCTTGGGAATAATTACCAGTGGATCTCCAAATATTACATTATGGGACTACGAAACCCAGGAAAAGATGAGTGTGGAGACGGGACTACGGGATCCGTTGACCTGCATCCTCTGGTCCAAGCAGCAGCAACTCCTGGCTGTCGGCACTGGCCGAGGAAACCTGTCTATCTACAACCACAGTAGCGGGAAACGTCCCACTCCAGTGCTGGGCAAGCACAGCAAACGGATCACCTGCGGTGCCTGGTCGGCTCAGAATCTTCTAGCTCTCGGATCGGAGGACAAAAGCTTCTCGCTGAGCAATGAGGACGGGGACACGGTACGAGTGGTCCAACTTAGGGATGCTCCGACCGACATGTACTTTGCTGAAATGGCAAACGATGACCGAATCGCCGGTGACAATGCCATCAGCATGATCATTGGCAAGCGCACCCTTTTCCTCTATTACCTTCCCGAGCCGGAAAATCCTACGGAGCTGGGCTTCCAGAGTCGGTATGGATCTTTAATGCAGCACAAGTGGTTCGGTGACGGTTATATACTGTTGGGCTTCTCCAACGGCCACGTTGTTGCTATTTCCACCCACCCCAAGGACGTGGGGCAGGAGCTGTGGCAGGTTAAAAATCACAAGGACACGCTGAGTGGTCTCGCCTACTGTCCCACGTTGGATATTGTAGCCTCCTGCGGAGATGATAAGTATGTAGTCCTTTTATTCCTTTCCTTAAGTATTGTAACCTTTCTTCCTTTTTTTTAGCATAAAAATTCACTCGATAACGAACCTCCAGGAAACGGAGCGCATTATAACCGTTCCGGATCATGCCGGCGTTCAGATGATCGATTGGTCTCCCGATGGGCAATTATTGGCGGTTACCACCAACAGTGGCACTGTCTATATCTACGTGACCAAGCTGCCTCACCTCTTCGCCGTATCAGCGCCTCGGATCGTCCTGCTGAGTAGTCTGGCTGAGGTGTCTATCTATGTGTATGCTCCGGATAAGTCCAAGTCGTTGCCTTTCCGGCTGCCGCTGGAGGGAGAGCCCACCTTCATGGCTGTGGGACCGTACAACTTTGCGGCTGGGATTGAAAAGCACGTATGGTTCTACGATCTGGGCAAGAGTTTGGGCGAGGAACCTCGACCACTAAGCGAACGTGATTTCCCCCGAAGCATTGCCAGTATGCGACTGAATGCGGATTACTGTGCTGCGCTGTGTCCACCCCAGTTGATCCTCCAGGCCATAACCGCTGACAATCCAAACTGCAAGGACAAGCTTCAGGCTGTGTTTCCAACTGCCTTGCCCAATATGCCCAGCGATGCGGTGATCACCTGCTTTGCTCTCACCCAGGAACTCCTAATATTTGCCACCGATGTGAGTTCTATTCAGTGTCCTTAAACTCGTCTTATTTTAATGATTTGGTTTTCAACATCCAGATTGGTCACCTGGTGTTCTATTCTCTGGAAAAGTGGGAAAGCTGCACTATATATCGCCACAGTATGGGTATAAGTCAACTCAACGTGGACATTGAGGGAACCAAGACTATCTTCATCGATGACCATGCCCAGGGATATGTTTTTTTGCCCGCCGTGGAGGAGGCCTTACTGATTCCAGAGATGCCCAAAGAGTGCCTTGGCTGTCTTTGGGATCTGACCCAGCCCAATATCTTCATCAGCTACGATACGAGGATGGTAAATACCCACGTCTTTGTACGCCACTCTGTCCAGGGGACCTATGCCTTGAAAGTGGGAGAATCCAAACTGAATCCTGGTCAGTTTCCGATTCTACTGTGCGGGGGTGAGATGGCACTCCATGTCGATGGGGGCCAGTATGCGACGCAGTCGCTCAGCACACATGTGGTGAATCCTAGCAACAGCCAGACAGCGAATCTTCAGATGCTTCTTCGGCTTAGGAACTACGAAGAAGCCTTCAAGTTGTGCAAGCAGATGAATCAGACAAGTGCCTGGCGGGAGTTTGGGGAGCAGGCTATTTCCGATCTGGAGCCGGATATTGGTGAGTAGATTGCGCTACGGATTATTATGCTTACTAACTAAATAATTACCAGCCATTCGAGCTTATCGTCAGTTGGGGGATGCTGCCCTGGTGAATGCTTTGACCGATCTCCGCTATGTGGAAGATCTGGACATGCTCATCGGATGCTGTTGCATGCTCTTGTCCCAATACGAACAGGCTAAGGAGCACATGCTCAAGGGTGTTTACAACCGTGCTGCCCTGGAACTCTGCCGTGATCTTCTACAATGGGATCAGGCCTTACTGCTGGCCCACAAGCACGATCCCCAGGAGGTTCCTTTCATTGCCAGGGAATACGCCCAGCAATTGGAATTCACGTAAGGAACAGGATATATTCTAATCAATCTATGTATTAAATAGTATTTCCATTTTAGGGGAAACTACGCCGATGCCTTGTATCATTACGAAAAAGGTTACAAGGAAGATTTAATCAACAACAAGGAAAGCGAACAGCCAGCTTCAATGGATGCTTCTCCGGAATTCGAAGAGCATGTGCGTCTGTGCAAAATGGGCATCGCCAGGACTTCTATAAGAGCAGGAGATTTCAGGCGTGGGGTAAGAAGCTACCAATTTTCTTGCGGATATAAATTCATCACTCATATTTTCTTTATAAGATCCAATATGCCGTGGAACTGGAGGATAAGCAGCTCCTCTTCGACTGTGCGGAGCTCTTAGCCACCGTTGGACATCTGACCGAAGCAGCTGGCTTGTATGAACGTGGAGGTTTCTACGACGAGGCCTGTGGCCACTATATTGCTCTTAAGATGTGGCACAAGGCCAACAACATCCTACCCAAGGTAAAGAGCACAAAACTGCACGCAGCCTATGCCAAGGCCAAAGAAAATGACGGTCACTTTGAGGAGGCCATAAAGAGCTACCGGGTAGCCGGTGACTTGGATGCCTGCGTTCGGATATATCTGGATCATCTGTGCGATCCCCATGCTGCCTCAGAAATAGTTTTGGAATCCCGCTCAATGGACTCAGCCAAGCTTCTGGCCAAGTTTTATCAGAAAATCGGTGACGTGGAACAAGCTCTTCAGTTTCTGGTTATCTGTGGCTGTGTGGAGGAGGCCTTCGCCCTGGCCCAGCGGCACAACAAGCTCCGTCGACATGGCGAGCTTCTGGAACGTTATGAGAATGCCAAATCCTCAGACTATCTAGCACTCGCTCACTATTTTGAAAGTGAAAAGTATACGCTCTTAGCTGGAAAATATTACTTTCTGGCTAGAGAGTTCACTAAAGCATTGAGATTCCTTCTGAAGGCCTCCGCTTTTAACAACGAAGAGCAAGGAGCTCTGTCCCTGGCCATTGATTGTGTGGCCACTTCGAATAATGAACAATTGGCGACCCAGCTCATTGAGTTTCTACTGGGCGAAGTGGATGGCGTCCCGAAAGATCCTCGCTATCTGTTCCGTTTATACATGGCTAGAAAACACTACAAGGATGCGGCCAAGACAGCTGTTATTATTGCCAACCAAGAGCAGCTTGCCGGAAACTATAAATCAGCCAGAGATCTGCTTTATTCCATGTACCAGGAACTACGTAGGAATAATTTATCCGTTACTGCCGAGATGCGGCATCAGTTTATTCTCTTACATCGGTACACGTTGGTGAGGATTCACGTTAAACTGGGAAACCATCTTTTGGCCGCCAAGCTGCTGGTCCAGGTGGCCGCCTGTATTTCACAGTTTCCTGAACGTAAGGATCATACAACTCCATAATATCCTGTTTAATTTTTTAATACCATCTTCCAGATATTATTCCCATCCTCACCTCCACGGTGATTGAGTGTCATCGAGCAGGACTCAAGAAATCTGCCTTTACATATGCCTCCACCTTGATGAGGCCGGATTACAGGAATCAGTTGGACCCACGATATGCCAAAAAGATAGAATCCATCGTGAGAAAAGCACCCAAGGGCATTAAACAGCTCCGTGATGAAATCGATGACGAGACCATGGAGTGTCCCATTTGTGACTCAAATCTGGCCAATATGGAGGTGACCTGCTACAGCTGCAAGACCACCCTTCCCATCTGCATAGCCACTGGCCAGCACATCATTAAGCAGCTTATGACATCCTGTCCGCAATGCGACTTTCTCTGCTTCCGCGCCGAAATGGAAAAGTGAGTCATAGAACCAAATAAAACATGAATTATAATTAAACTTTGTTTATTCTTCCAGCATTTTATCTGAGAATGGCGAGTGTCCCATGTGTGGCGAACGTGTGGCACCGGAGCAGTTGCTGGATGTAGAGGACATACGACCATATATACTGGCCGCTTCTTAGGATAGACTCATCATAGAACTGAAGCAAACGAATAGACTGCACATGATCACCCAAAACCAAAAAATAGAAACATATACATACATATATGTATAAGATGCAAAGCACAAAAAACACTTCATATACCTAATCAGAACTGATTTTTTCTTAAAATTGGCCAAGATAAGGACTTGGTTTGGGGCCAAAATGGAAATCCCGGATTTTACAAGGGGTTCCATCAGAAAAATTTGAAAAATAGGGATCGAAAATTTTGTTTTGAGGTTTTGATGCAGATTGAAGCAGAATCCAACTACAAATCGTTTGAGGTACTCCTCTCAAGGATCGGATGAAAATTGGCCAAGATATGGACTTGGTTTGGGGCCAAAATGGAAATCCAGGATTTTACAAGGGGTTCCATCAGAAAAATTTGAAAAATCGGGATCGAAAATTTTGTTTTGAGGTTTTGATGAAGATTGAAGCAGAATCCAACTACAAATCGTATGAGGTACTCCTCTCAAGGATCGGATGAAAATTGGCCAAGATATGGACTTGGTTTGGGGCCAAAATGGAAATTCCGGATTTTTCAAGGGGTTCCATCAGAAAAATTTGAAAAATAGGGATCGAAAATTTTGTTTTGAGGTTTTGATGCAGATTGAAGCAGAATCCAACTACAAATCGTTTGAGATACTCCTCTCAAGGATCGGATGAAAATTGGCCAAGATATGGACTTGGTTTGGGGCCAAAATGGAAATCCAGGATTTTACAAGGGGTTCCATCAGAAAAATTTGAAAAATCGGGATCGAAAATTTTGTTTTGAGGTTTTGATGCAGATTGAAGCAGAATCCAACTACAAATCGTTTGAGATACTCCTCTCAAGGATCGGATGAAAATTGGCCAAGATATGGACTTGGTTTGGGGCCAAAATGGAAATCCAGGATTTTACAAGGGGTTCCATCAGAAAAAATTTGAAAAATCGGGATCGAAAATTTTGTTTTGAGGTTTTGATGCACATTGAAGCAGAATCCAACTACAAATCGTTTGAGATACTCCTCTCAAGGATTGGATGAAAATTGGCCAAGATATGGACTTGGTTTGGGGCCAAAATGGAAATCCAGGATTTTACAAGGGGTTCCATCAGAAAAAATTTGAAAAATCGGGATCGAAAATTTTGTTTTGAGGTTTTGATGCAGATTGAAGCAGAATCCAACTACAAATCGTTTGAGATACTCCTCTCAAGGATCGGATGAAAATTGGCCAAGATATGGACTTGGTTTGGGGCCAAAATGGAAATCCCTGATTTTACAAGGGGTTCCATCAGAAAAATTTGAAAAATCGGGATCGAAAATTTTGTTTTGAGGTTTTGATGCAGATTGAAGCAGAATCCAACTACAAATCGTTTGAGATACTCCTCTCAAGGATTGGATGAAAATTGGCCAAGATATGGACTTGGTTTGGGGCCAAAATGGAAATCCAGGATTTTACAAGGGGTTCCATCAGAAAAAATTTGAAAAATCGGGATCGAAAATTTTGTTTTGAGGTTTTGATGCACATTGAAGCAGAATCCAACTACAAATCGTTTGAGATACTCCTCTCAAGGATCGGATGAAAATTGGCCAAGATATGGACTTGGTTTGGGGCCAAAACGGAAATCCAGGATTTTACAAGGGGTTCCATCAGAAAAATTTGAAAAATCGGGATCGAAAATTTTGTTTTGAGGTTTTGATGCAGATTGAAGCAGAATCCCACTACAAATCGATGAAGGTACTCCTCCCAAGGATCGGATGAAAATTGGCCAAGATATAGACTTGGTTTGGGGCCAAAATGGAAATCCCTGATTTTACAAGGGGTTCCATCAGAAAAATTTGAAAAATCGGGATCGAAATTTTCGTTTTGAGGTTTTGATGAAGATTGAAGCAGAATCCCACTACAAATCGATGAAGGTACTCCTCTCAAGGATCGGATGAAAATTGACCAAGATATGGACTTGGTTTGGGGCCAAAATGGAAATCCCGGATTTTACAAGGGGTTCCATCAAAAAAATTTGAAAAATCGGGATCGAAAATTTTGTTTCAAGGTTTTGATGCAGATTGAAGCAGAATCCAACTACAAATCGTTTGAGGTACTCCTCTCAAGGATCGGTTGAAAATTGACCAATATATGGATATGGTTTGGGGCCAAAATTAACTTGAAAGTAACCGTTTTTTTAAGAAAAACTTTTTAGTGCTGGAAAAGCTTTGATATTTTTCACGTTTTGGCGAATGTCTTTGAAAAATCTCGCAACACTGGTCGAAAATCAGATTTGGCAACACTGAATTCACATCAAAATAGCCCTGTATTAGTAGTAACACCCGGTTTTTAAAGTGACTAATTCCAAATTTTGTTTTATTTAATTTAACAACAAATCCCAAGAACTGCAAGATGGCACAGATAATTGAGTCGGGTAAATCGGATTTCATCAAGGCGAATGTGTCCAACTCCCACAACGATGCAGTGGCTTTTGAGGTGAAGCTTGCCAAGGATCTAACAGTGGCTGAGCTTAAGGTAGGAAGAACGAATATTAGAAGGAATTATGTACTAATTACCCCCACTTTTGGTTTCCTCTAGAGCAAACTGGAGATATTGACTGGAGGCTGTGCTGGAACTATGAAAGTGGAGCTCTACAAGGGTGACACATGCCTGTCCACGCTGGACAACAACAACGCCCAGCTGGGTTACTATGCCAACTGCGATGGCCTGCGTCTGCACGTCATCGATAGCTTCGCCAACTTTAGCTTTGACAACGCTACCGTTGAGAAATTCGAGCTGACAAAGGATCAGTATGACCAGCGAACCAATTCTGTGAGAAACTACCTCAAGCAGAACAAGCTGGGCAAGTACAACGAAGAGGAGATGGCCCAGGCTGAGGAGAAGCGCCGGCAGCAGGCCGAGGAAATGCAAAAGCGGGCGGAACTATGCATCGTGGGTTCAAGATGCGAGGTAACAGATAAATCCTACTCGGTTTCTTGAGAAGATTGTACTAAAAGTTGATACATTTAGGTCACAGTTCCTGGGAATCCACGACGTCGTGGAACCATTCGGTATAATGGAGAGCTGGATGGTAAGAGTGGGGTTTTCATTGGAGTAGAATATGATGAGCCTCTTGGGAAAAATAATGGAAGGTATGGTTTTTACGTCCCTTAATATCTATTTAGATTATATATTCCCTTAATTCTTCATTGCAGCGTTGCTGGCAAAGCTTACTTTACCTGTCAACCCAACTATGGGGGCTTCGTCTCCCCACTTTCCGTTACGGTTGGTGATTTCCCAAAAGAAGAGTTCAACCTGGATGATGAGCTCTGAGAGCTTCTATTCGGTGTAGCTACCACAAATCTCAGAAAATTACTCGCACATCGCACACACGCCAGATTAACCAAAAGACTTACCAGGCAATTATACCTTATTTGTACGCAGCAGGAAAACTAATTTTAGTTATGCCATTTTGTATTTATTAATTAAAACATCTATGTATGTATGTATATCAGATATTCTTACAACATGATTATTCGTAAATTCTATAATCGGCTTTATCATAATTCTGATTTAATGGTGTTCTCAATCATTTATACTTTATCAATCATTTTTTGTTTTACAATAACTCAACCGTTTGTAAACGAAAATAAATACCAGAAATAAGTATACGAACTAACATATTGTGCAATGTGTGTGTGTTGATCTGGGGCGCGTTAATGAAGAATTAACTGGCCACAGCTGTGGGATAACGAAAAACACAAGGGACGTGAAGTTATAGCAATGCTTACACAGATAGATATATATGTCTCTTTTTTCTTTTGGGAATACGGGAGTTCGGCGTTCTAATTGAGAGGATATCGTTCGGCGTATATGTAAGAAGCTGCTTGCTTTATATATTTATGCATGTATTATATACTTATGTGTGTTTATGCAGTGCCTAGTCCTAGTAATTATTAATAAGTTTCAATTAGCTGTCATTTAACAACAAATATATATAAAACGATGCATGCTTTTCTCAAAGGTTAAGAATTATAGAAATGCGTCACAATCATGATGCAGACGTAGACAACTTGATGTGCCACTATGTATATGTTTTGGTATCTATAGACTGTTGTTTTTGTTTTTGAGCCTCCACAACTTAGATAAATGGTCGTCTTTTTTCATTTTTTTCTCCCCCTACTCATCTCACTTGAGATCGCTCTTGTCCCTCGAAATCCCATTTACTTTATCCTCATAACACATAAAATTCTGCTTCAGATACATGCTCTCAAGCCACTGGCTCTGGGTCTTTTCCTCGGGGGTAAGTTGAACTTAGCGGAAACTAGGTAACAATTGGCCACAATTGCGTCTGAGTTTTAGGTTTCGGAGTGGTTTTCAGTAAACTTGTAGCCTTAACAGTAATATACATACATTTGTTGTCTGTTGTGTGTTTATTGTGTAGAGTTCTATGAACTGTTTAAATCAAATGAAGTTGTTAACCAAATGATGTCAGGTATAAGTACCAATGTATACCAACTATGCGTATTCGAGCACGGGCCTAATAATTACAATAGATGAGCGTAGAAGATAGAAGATATTGCTGATTATATTGATCATACCTCGATCTCGACAAACAACATTCGCGAGAATACATATATATATATATGGTCTTAAAATGAAACAACCCGAGTTCGGATATCTGTATATATTGTGTGTGTTCTTTGATCGTTTGGTTTGCCAAGCAAAATTGTTTACTGGATATCGACACATAAATGCAGTTTATAGAGCGTTGATTGGTTTCTTGTTTAATATTTATTGTTACTGTTTTTGTTTTATTGAGTGGTGTGTTCTGGTGTTACCCTTCTATTAATCGTCCTGCAGCCCCCCGGCTGCTTGCTGGCCCATTAGCTAGAGTCCTATTAATTAACGTATGTATGTATGTAAATATGTGCGTATCTATGCGGGTGCTAATGCCTGTCAGTGTGGGTAGATAGAGGGGTTTGTCTGCTTGATTGTTATGTGTAGGTTGTTATATATTCAATACGTTCGATCTACGGAGAGATACTAACATCCATTATATTTTTGTTTTCTTGTTTTCATCATCTTGAGATTCGGGCTGCAGGATGCGTCGCCTGCCCCACAAATGAATTTTCCCCCCCAAAATGCCATTGCTACGGCCATTTTCCATTCCATTAGAGAGTTGTGGTTCGTAGCATGGCAACTTTTCCCTCCGGCTTGCTGCCTGATTTATCCTTATCGGTGGCCGCCGCTTCCTGTCCTGCTGCCGCCTGTGCTGTGTCCTTCTCCTTTTTTCCGGACGAACCTTGTCTGGCTGCAGTTAGTTTGCGCACAATTAGGCTTCCGGTGTGCTTGATGTTTCGCTTCAACCGGTTGCCTCCGCCGCCGCCATCGCCTTTTACCTTCTGTCCATCTTTGTGTGAAGACTTCTTGGATTCACCTGTTTTGCCATCAAGGACATCGACTTCTTCTTCAAGAATGGGGTTTATCGGACTGAAATCCCCAAAAAGTGGCACGTCAATCGAGTGACCTGGCTGTGCGTCAATCACAGCATGTAGATCCGGCACATCCTCTCCAGATTCCACATTCTCCTTCGAACTAAATGGCGAATACATTTGGAACGCTGATAGCAACGAGTTGGATTTCTTCTGATCCTCACTGCCTCCGGTGGACAGGCGGCTCTTCTTGCGCCGCTGTGATCCCTGCTGACTGGTCAAGGAGCGGCAGAGCAGCGAGAGCTCCGACAGTCTGGAGCTGCTGTCGTGGCTGACCGTCCGGCAGTTGGTGGTGGAGATGTTGTCGGATGGATCAGTGGCCCGCGAGGCGGAGCAAGTGGCGATGGCGGCGGCAGCGGCAGCATTCCCCTCGTTGTTCGTTTGGTTAAGTCACAGCCGGAGGTCAAAAGCAATGCGAGACGCAATGTTCTTGAAGCCGATGCTGGTGCCTGAAGAAATCCAATGAATTTGCATTAAAAACTATAATATTTCTTATTATTTTAATATTTCTGCGTACCAGAGATTCGCTTGAAGCGCACTCCATTGAGGGATAGGCGAGGCAGCTTGCACACCTCAATTTCCCACTGCACCAGGGAGTCTGTATTTGGATCTCCATGGACGCACCAAAGAACAAATCTATAAAGGTTTTAAATATTAAAAAATTGATATAATAAATATATAGGATATTAGGACTCACCGTTCACGCTGCTCGTAGTCACAGTTGTTCTGGTCGAGCACCTCGCGAATCTTCTGCATTATCTGATCGGGCATTAGGGGCGAAGTGGTTTTCATGGACCATGTGAAGCGCAAAACTCTTGGTTTCGCTGCCTCCTCCGTGGTTGTTGTACTGAAAGATGAATATATAACCAATATATAAAAAAATATCGCGCGAACCTTGAAGATTGAAAACACCTGGCAAATGCAGACTCGTTATTTGGAAACTTTCCCATTTTTGGAACTTTTTTGTTTTAGTTTGCAAAAATTGTAGTCGGTTAGGTTAGTATGTCAGTCATTTATTAATTTAAAACTCTTAAAACATCCAAAATGAATTGGTAGTCAATGAAAACAATCCATGGAAGGAGTGTAGCTATCAATGATTCGAAATGAAATAAAATTGAAATGCGCTTTAGTGGTATTTTCTTTTGCTCACAAATGTTTCACATCATTTATTATGGATTTTTATTAAATTATCAATTGTTTTAATTATGCGTTATTTCTTTGAAACTTAATATGTATAGATAACTACATATCGGGCCACTGAAGGCGCCCGATGATAACACGATCTATAGATAATCAGCTGTACAAATAAAATGGTCACATGCACTAGTGTTAATACATTGTTTTTCCTTGAATTTAAGTTTAATTTGTTTCTATTTATCGCAATGTTTTGTTTCTTATTTTGTTTTTTTGTTTTTTGTTTTAGTGACTACGTGGTATGCTTAAAATACTAAATATGCTGCACTTCTTGTGGCTCTCAGCATACAGCTCTTGAAGTTCAGCTTCGGGGCAACAGTGGGTGTGCTAATATGAGTTGCAAGATCGTTAATTGGCTGGCTGGCTTGCTGGTTTCTTGATTGATTTGTTGGTTTTGTTTGTTTTTGTTTTTTTGTTTCTTGATTGATTGCTTGATTGAACTCTGATTGTATGATCCTTGGATACAATTTGAAATCAAGCTCATGTCGGAAATACAGAATACAGATCCATACATACATACATATACATTAAAAAAATACAAAGATCGCTAAACAAGATTTAAGATCATCGTTACAAAATTAGCAACTTGTGTTTTGGTGTTCTATTGTGTGTTCACTACTAAAAAAAGGATAAATGGCGTATAGACAAATAAATACACCAGTTTGTATATATCATTTTAGTTGAGTTACGCTTAGATTAGTTTATTTTATCTTTTCGCAGTTTACTCTCTCACGCTCTCACGGTTCAGTAATTTATTTTTATTTAGATTTTATTAACTAAATGCGATACGCATTTAAGATACAGTTTATAGATAGTTTAGGTATAGTACTCATAGGTGTATTATTTAGTTATCAACTTTATCCAATAATCGTGATCAGCTTTCTCACTGATCATCATTTTCCATCTCTAATTATCTCTTGCATTTCCGTTTCCGGTATCGTTAATCGGTATCGATATCGGTCTCTTAGTTTCGTTTCGATTTTTATTTAATTTTATATTGCCGTTGTCAGGTCGCTTCTCGCATCGTTTTACAAACAATGAAAACAAGGGTTTCGTAATTTCTGTTTGTGGTTTGCTTTACTTTTAAATATATATGTATATGTATATGTATTTTTAATTTATATAAATTTATAAGTATAATTAGTTAATAATCGTAATAAAACATAGGCGCCTTTGTGAAATTTTCAATTAACGCAACGGAACTCAACGTTGTCGGTGTTCATTTGAAGGGGGTTCGGTATCGGTATCGGTATCGGTATCGAATTCGAATCGGACTCGATATCAGGGGTCGGCAACAGTTACGGTAACGATAAACATTAACAGTTCCGTTTATCGATCCCGATACGATCCGATGCGATCCGATATTGGATTCGATCATCGATCTGTGTCTGTCTGTTCATATCAGAACCTCTCCGTCACGCGCGTTTACTCTAGGGGAATCGGTTTTTGTTTTCAGTTTCAGTTTCAGTTTTAGAACTATTAACAAGAAGTAGTTAATGCTTGTTTTGTTAATTACTGGTTTGGCCTAAAATTAAAGAAAAAATTTTAAACAAATTATTCACGGCTGGAAAAAATATTAATAATGGGTAAAAAAACAAATACCAGAAATGAAACCAAAGAGGACAGATAAGAATAAAACGGAATAATGGTAAGAGTTTCATTATTTTTTCATCATCATCATCATCATGTTTCTTCATAGAAAAAGAAAAGTAAACGCAATTGTTCTTCAACTGATAAGTAGTACACTTTACATTTTATTATTGATTTTTATTTTTTATGCTTATTGCTTTGAGAGCATTACAATTAATTAAATATTGATAATGTTTTTTTAATATAAATGAAATAAATAGAGACAAGAACAAAAGAGCCTTCCTAGCGTGGTGGTGATATATATATATATTGATATAATGGAGGTACATAGTTGTACAAAGCAAACGTGGATATACAGGATTAAAGAAACTACATAAGTAATATTTATATACTGTATATATATATTGTATATATGCATTTATATAAAAAAATCAATCAATCAATCAATCAAGAATAAAAGAAACTAAGGAGTGACGGAGATTCTGAGATTTATTTGAGAGCGTAGAGAGGAAGCGACAGACGTTGGACGTTGGTAGCCAGATCAGATATGGATTCAGTTCCTTATATCAGCTATTTCACGTAGAGTCACGTAGATATATATTTTTATATGCATTTGTATATGTATGTATGTATTATCTTGTATTCATAGTCGGATTTTAGATGGAGCTCCATATTATATTCGTTTATAGTAGTTGCTGGGCCAATGGATGCTTTGATGACACTGACACTTTGACACTATCATAGGTATGAGTATCGTATGAATAACACCCATTCATTGTTCTAGGTCTGAGCCACATTCAGAGTATATTCAGCTGCTTAACTTTTTTTTTGTAGTTGGTTGGTTGGTTGTAGTTACACAATGTGTTCATATGTATGTAGTATGGTACGTATGCTAACTAAATATGGATAGGAATACAAATGTTTAGCAATGCATTGCGAGCATCTAGTTGGTAAGCTCATCGATCGAACCGGCATATGCACCATCGCCCAAATCGCACCTAATCCAAGCTAGAAATGGAGTCAGTGCATCGGATGATGTGGTGCATATGCTAGTTCGAGTTCGAGTCACTTTCGTTCTTAGGCAAAAGTCCTGGGTAGAAGTTACATGTATTGTGTTAGGTAGGTGTGTGTTTTTCGTGGTGTATATACATTAGAGAGTACACACTTTCCTTCCGAAAGTCGTTCAGTTCAAAAAAATGAGAGAAAAAAAATAGAGAAACCAAAACGGAAAAAAAAACATAAAATAAAATTCCATATACAAAAAATGTGCATATCATTAGTGGAAGAAGAAGGATCAGTAACACTTTCGATGAAGTCGATTCTTCGCATTAAAGTAAAATAGTTAACCAATTAAAATATAAAATCACGCCCATGACACATTAGTCTCTCGATCGTGCAGGCCAACGCATGGACAACTTGCTTGGTTAGTTAGTAATTAACATTAGTCTAAGAGCAGTCGAGAAACTAGCGCAGATGCATAGCAGTTATGTTGGTTATTGGGAGAGCTTATTCGGGTATTACTGTCTATATAGTTCACTTCACGGTAGCAGTTGTCTTACGAGTCTCTGCCTCTCAGTCTCTCAAGTAAATTAGATTTAAGATCTCGGCAGGTGCAGTTTCGTGATTCTAGTGAGAGGGTGATGGGTTAAAACACGACATCGACTTGAGAAATGAAAACAGAAATCGCACAGAAAACTATAGTGCACAGAAGCTCCCCTTTGAAGAGCCAACCAAAGTGCGATTAGAACTTTAAAATGTGATTTAAACTTGAGGTATAGGGTCGTTCCAATTTAATCCTAAGCTTGTCTGTTTCTGGTGTGTCTGTATCATCCGCGCCACATCCTGATCGCCTGTCCTTCCTCAGAACTAAGCTCAAAGAGGCACCTATCTGAAGCCAGATTTTGACTTTGAAACTCTGCATATCCAAGGGTATTATTTGATTTTTTAGTTAAGTGCATCGATGGGCAGATGGCATTGCAATGCGTTTTGTAGCGATAACTTTGAGCCGGTTTGAGTGAAAGTTGGTTTTATTTAAAAAGGTATTCTGCCGGCTTGGAAACCATAAACACATACCCATGGCACATGAACTGTATGTGTGGTAGATATGCAGTAGATATGATTTACAAAAAAAATAATATATATATATAATGAGACAAATATGAAACATAAAGTGAAAACGATAAACGAGGAAAAAAACAAACAAACGAGTTTTAAATTAAAAAAATGACAAAACAAGAGAAATTAACAAAAATTGTAATTAAATGATAAAATAAATGAAATTAAGAAACGAATCGAATTGCAGTTTGCATTTGCTTTTCTTGTAATATTCCATTAACTGAAGAAATGAAGTTGGCATCTTGTGGATACTTTTGGTAGCAACATGTTGTACTTACCGTTTGCTAAAACGTGAGGAGAGTTTGGAGAAGAAGCTCATGCGACCCGGATGGGAGGAGTCTCCGGAGGCACCGCTGGTGCCCGAATATTCCAGCGCTGTGTTGTTTCGTGCTCTGGTTTGACCTACGAATTGCAATGATTATATAATTAGAATCTAAATAGTATTTACCTTTGGAACAACAATTCTATCATTAGTTGCATTATTATTTTTGTTTTTTTTTTTAAACTAAGTACATACATACTAACAGGGGTTGATAGTAGGTATATACTTAGTAGAGGCACAAAGGGCAATGTGATTTGGAAGTATTCTATTATCTATTTAGTTCTATTATCTGGCTAGTTAGTCACACATTGCACTTTGGCCAGTGGGACATACGCAAAGTCTTTGGATTTCTTTAATCGCGATAGCTGAATTCAAGTCCGAGTGGACTATATATATATATCTCTATGAATAGTTTTCCATCCGTATTTCCAAACACACACATTGATATTTACAGGAGAGCAGTGGATGGATGGATGGGTGGGTGGGCAGGTGGTTAGGTGAGTGGTTTGGGGGATTCATTTCAAGGATGCAAACATACTAGTTGGGGGAAGTAGTATTATGTAACCATTTAGACAAACGTGCATGGACTGAGTGCAGCATTAGATCGTCGCGGGCGTCAAATCATAAGCGATGCGATATGTACGACATAACATAACATAACATTCAGCTAATAATATGGATATCGATGTCTATATAATCGCTTGAAAAATCAAAAACTTTATGAAAGGTGGTGCAGTGCAGGAATATTTCATAATCCTACTATCGAATGCAAGAAATCATAAACTTAACATCTATGAATGAGGTATAGCCTAGGCCCCAGGGCCAGGTATCATCAGTTAGTTGAGGGAGGATTTGGGATTAGGATTGGTGGATATAATTAAATTATTATTATTTAAACTAATAAAAATAAGTGAACAGAAAACTCACCAGAGTGAAAGGTTGAACGTGATGGAACATTCCTTGGAAAGTGTCTGCTTGATTTAACAGCCGATGCCATTCTAAGTCGATCGAACAGACTATATATGTACAAGTACAATATACACACATAGGTATGAATGCAAATCAAATCAGTATCGAGTTTCGAATCAGTCGGAGTAGTACATTCAAATCCAATGAATCGCATTATTTTTTCAGGAAACGAATATGTTTTTATATCAGTATCAGAGATTGATTTTTTTCCATTAAATTATTTTGTAAGATTTTTTTTTAAGTAAATAGTATTATTGTTTGTACAAGAACCGTTCGCGCGTTCGTCACATATGATATGATATCGATATAAAAATTAAAAGTTTAATGGAATGATTTATGAAATTCGGGTCATCATCATCATCATCAAATCGAATTAAATCGAATTGAATAGTTTTGTTTTTTTTTTGGGGATTTGTAATTGTTACCCATTGCGTAATTTTACCAATTAATTGTTTTTTTTTTTTGTAAGTAAATATATATATTGTTTGTTTGTTTTTTTGGGTTTCATGTAGAATGGCGGCAGGCGGGTGGGTTGATGGTCAGAGCAGCGCGAATCAAGCATTTTCGTTTGATTGATTGATTGATTGATGTGACAAATTGATGACGGTTTCAAACCAAAAGGGTTTCATGGTGTTTTTATATATTGTGTTTTTGTATCAATCACGTCGCAGACATAAACAAAATGAAAAGAAAAAAATAAAAATAGATCATGTAAGTTTTCTTAAATAGAGACAAGCACTTAAAAATACATATCTTATAAATAATATCGAATGTTTCGTTGGTTTTTATGGACATGAACATATGTATGCATATTGGAAAGCTCAGCAGATAGCAGTTAGGTTTAGAGTACAGATGGGAGATTAGATCCTCCGGTCTACATGAAAGCATTATGGGATGGTTCATGCGTTCGATTGGCTATCAGATCCCCGAATGGGTCAAGTACTTTATTAGAAGCTGAGCAGTTATCCTAATCAAAGCTGGAAGTTACTGGTTGAAATCGTACATTGGAGAGCACAGAGTACGGAGATTATGTTCAAGAGGTACAAGAGTTACAAACAGCAGCACAATAACAAACTATATAATTGATTTTAAAAAAATTTAGTTTAGCATTTAACAATAAACGAAAATCAAACACACACAATAATGAAGATAATTCAATTATACTGGCGATGGATAAATAGAATCAATAGACTTTTACTGACGGAGACAGAGACATGCATGAGGAAACACACGAGTATAGTAATGAGAGTTAATATTACTTAAGAAATCTTGTTTGGATCATCCCAATGCGAATACCAAATAAAAAACTATTCACTTTCGTTAGGGCTTATATCCTCGGGGCCTATCTATCTATATCGAGCAATAGTATCACGTATGTCGTCTTGGCATCGCCGCCAATTGAATTTCGTTTTAAAAATGAGAATCACAGAAATGCGAAATTAGGCGAACAAAATTAGGAAAATAAAACCAAACCGTATGCTAAGTTGTATATAGTTTTAAGCAATACTTTTATGGAAAGTACTATATATGGAAAGGGCCGTGGCCGTGTTCGCGTTGGCTACTTTATACCCAAAAATTGCTCAAAAATACACAAAATATTCTAGCAATTGTATGTTTTTTGGACGCGCCCACGACCCTTGGTTGAATGAGGCACAAAATATATATTTCTCTTAATGTAAGATTACATTTTTTTTCACTCACCAATATTTGTTCGATTTCGGACAGAATCCAAATGGAATTCATTGTTCAAATCGGATTGGAATTGTTGCATTATTATTATTATTATTATAGTAATAGTAGAGTAGTACAATAATTGATCGAGCGTCGATAGGAGGACGAAGGAGGTTGTTGCAGATTCAGATTCAGATTTCAGATTCAGATATCAGATTTCAGATTCGTAGGTGGTGTTATTTGTAGTTGCGGATATATAGAACGCCACAAGGAATGGATGTACATATGTGGTAGTGTAGTTGTTATCAAAATTAGACAATTGGTTTGTAAACAGACAATGTTCAAAATTGTAAAAAACATGAAAAGATAAGAAATTTACATTATTCAATTGATCAAATCGGTTAGCTCGGTAGTAAGTAGTACACTGGATAAGTAGGTTGGATAAATACGAAACGAATATAGAACGAAACTAGGAAAGGCCAACACTATATATACTAATAGAGAAGTAAACACAGTAACCGAAATAAATTATATATCTAAATGATAAGTACTTAAAGGTAATCGATTACGTCTTCAGGCTCAAGGGGCTCTCCATTCAGAGTCAGAATCATCCTAACCACATCCTAAGTCTCTCTAGGACTATAAATCATAAAAATATTAACCTAATAACTAAACTCATTAAAATAAATCAGAGATCTATTATTTTCTCCAGAGACCTTTAGGTTTTCTAACAAATCAGAGGATCTGGAGTTACTGGAATGTATGATCGTGCTAGCCATCTAAGTGGTTGAGTTCTTTGTGACTGATATTGGAGTCTATGATTCATGAAGGTGATAATACTTTGCAGTATGATTGTCCAAAAAATGCACAATAATTCTCTCGAAAAAAATCAAACAAAATGCCAGCCAATTGATTAAAAAAAATTAAAATAAAATGAATTTCTTAATAAAATTCGTTAATAAAAACAAAGATAATTTTGTTTAGTTTGGTTTCTTTTTTTTGTTAATTACTCATGTGTATACCTCGTTCCAAGCGGATCATTCGAGACCGTGACGCATCCGTCCGCAGAGGGGCGAGGACTCGAAACAGAAGCGCTTTTGGTATGACCTTTTCCAGCGGGAGCTGCCGATCCGCTGCTGGTAATGTGCAAGTTTTTGGGTTTAGGCCGAAAAGTGGTAGAATCGTAATCATAAGTATGGCATTGTTTGTATGGAGTTTTGGGTTTTGCAAAAGTGTAACCAAAATGTTTTTAAATAAAACAAATAATTGTCATTTTGGATTGTGCCAGAGGCACGGCAACTAAGGACAACTAAACTGTGCGTGACTATATACAATAATACTATATGTTTTATTCGCGAAGGATCGCCTCTAGAGGACCACGGTCCCCCTGTCTAGATGGAAGTGTGTAGATGATTTCTAAACTTTATGTCCGATTCTCGATCCGAACTAAGTAAAGTAAAGTAAGCCTGCCGAAAAAATGGGGGAATGTGATGCAAATAATAACCGGGGGGACGGGCGGGGAACTTTGAACAGCAGTAGAAACTATCGCAAATTGTAGGAATAACACGCTGGCTACTACAACCGGATCGACTCTCACGTACTTTGTCTCTGCGGGAATAACGTTGGTCTTCTCCGTCGACGAAGTCTTTTCATAGAGCGTGGTGGAGCGGCGTGGAATGATGCCACTGGTGCCGCTCACCGAGCGGTTGCCGTTCGTCGGATCGTACTTCGTTGCCGTTCGCGGCTTGGCGGGACTGTTCAGTGCTGGAAGAAGTGGTTGGAGGGGATTATATAGATGCCTGATTAGAGACTGATTAGCACCTTACTTGTGTCTGCCGTGGTGAGCATCTTTTGGGTGGCCGAAGCAGGTCTTTGATTCTGGGCGGCCAATCGCGCCGTGTTCTCCTTGATCGTGGCCGAGTCGATGGTGTTCTGACGCTTGAAATTGCTGCCACTAGAAAGAGTAACTTGTAAGTAGTTGCTTTAGATAGACTGACTATATAATACATACACTGATGCTCGATCCGCGGCTGATCCTGCAGCATTGTAGTTATTGCTTGGGTTGACGGCACCCACGGCTCCCGCCGCAGCAGCGGCAGTTGCAGCTGCATTTGTGGGTCCAACGCCTAAAATAAATAATATTATTAACTTTTTTAATCTACAAAATGCACTAAGCAAACACAAGCTACTGGAAAAAGCTCTTTCGATGACACATTCTATCAGACAGTCGGACCGAAAGAGCTTTTGCCTTTAAAGAAAAATAAAGTGTTAGTAAGTCGTTAGCCCCTTAGTGGGACTTACGCAAGGTTTCCGCACCGGACGAGGCTCGGCGACTGGGCTTCGTGCTAGACGCCGATATGCTCCTATGGACGCCACGGTGCGTGGGACTCTGGACTCCCGCGCTGCCAGCATTGGCGCCCGCATCGTTGCCCGAGATGTTGCGCAGTGAGAGCGATGAGCCAGATCGGGATCCGTCACTTTCAGGCTACAGGAAGACGAATCTTTAGCTCTTTAGAGCTCATTGGAATATAATGACCTTTACTTACGTCGGTGCTCTTGCGTCCCAGCAACAAATACGTGGCAAAAACATCATCGTAGCGCACCTGGGACAGCGAAGCCTCGATCTCCTGCCGATTGTAGCCCATCGCGACTAGAGCTTCTGCAGGTCGTACAAACAAATCAGATAAGAGGGTGTAGGGTGTTTGTGGTACATTCATCAACTGACAATTTAGTACATTTAGATAGGGCATGCAAATTCATTACAATAACAGATCACCGATACTCTCCAACTCGAGTTGGGAGTGGCCGGAATTGTGTGTTCACTTGGCCAACTACATAGGATTATTATATTCTTATTTCTAGACCATGCAGCAAACGAAACGAAATCATATCATCACCGAGGCAGGACCCAAACCGGATGCAATCTTCAGCTTCGAATTGAAAGAGAACATTTCGTAGAAGAAGGCTACTTTATTTTCCCTTATCATTGTGCATACACAAAACAGCTAGTAACAGTGAAAATCAGTGAAAAACCAATGAAAATACAATGAAAATAAAAATGAAATTTTAGTTGCTCCAAAGGAATGGCTGGCTGTTCTCAAAATATATTCAAATACACTCCAGACTATCCGTTCTCGAGAGCTGGCTTGCTATCTGATGTCTCTTCCTGGACGATCTGGAGCTGGAGCGGATTGGGCGGACAGAAAGTGAGAAAAAGAACAGAGAATTGGAGGGTTAATGCGGAATGATCTCGGGATGCTACGATAGCAACGTTTCACTACACGAGATTGGGTGGCATACATTTTCAAGTGGCCTTGGGCCATGGCCATGGACAGGACCCTTCCTTTCGTCGATTAGAAAATTCACCATCAACATCAAGTTGTAGGCACTACGGCGTATCGAGAGCGAATTCTTGACACCGGTTTGTGACCCCGCAGCTATGTGAGAATTTACAAACAAAAATCATGATGGTATATATATTTCAAGATACAACCAAAGATCATAGAAAAAAAACACAACATTTTTTACAAAGAAAGTGTCTACTAAAAGTTAGTAACAGAGATTATACAATAGTTAGGCATTATTATAATAAATAATAAATCGGCAGGCAATAAACTCCAGTCCACACACAATTCGTTAATAATATTAGTAATGAATTTTGTATACAGTACCCGTCTTACCTATCCGCTTGGGATCGGCTAAATCGGCCTTGGGCTCTATATAGGGCTTCAGTTCGTCCTCCTCAAACCCCATGTTCATCCACTTGTCGCCCATGATGGTTTCCAGACTAGCACGCTTAGCGGGGTTCAGTACTAGGAATTTGCGGAGCAAGTTTTCGCAGTCAGTTGACATATAGAAGGGGATTCTACAACAAAATTAAATAAATTAATGTTTTAAAACTAAAAAATTAATAATCCTCATACCTATATTTGCCTCTGAGCACCCGTTCGCGCAACTCCCTCAAGGTGGAGCCGTCAAAGGGCAGGGAACCGCTCACTAACGTATACAGGATAACGCCCAGCGACCACACATCCACCTCGGGACCATCGTACTTCTTGCCCTGGAACAGCTCGGGAGCGGCGTACGGTGGACTGCCGCAGAACGTGTCCAGCTTGGAGCCGGGTGTGAACTCGTTGGAAAAGCCAAAGTCAGCGATCTTAATGTTTAGTTCGCTGTCCAGCAAAAGGTTTTCAGCTTTTAAGTCCCTGTTTTGGAGGAAAATCAAAGGTTATCAATGGAACTTGGAGTGGGAACCTGATGATCCTGGGATTCATTATACCTGTGAATTATTCTCTTTTGGTGACAGTATTGCACAGCTGAGACGATTTGTCGAAACTTGACGCGCGCCTCCTTCTCCTTCATGCGTCCATGCAGGACCAGATAGTCGAACACCTCACCCCCGGACGCGTACTCCATGATGAGATACAGCGTCTTCTCCGTTTCGATTACTTGGAACAGCTTAACTATGTTGGGGTGATCCAGCATCTTCATTATCCTAACCTGTAAATGGACATATGGTTTAGAATCTTCCATAGTCTCAAAGTGCTTGACTTACCTCTCGGAAGAGTTTCTGTAGTGACCCAGGATTGAGTTGGGTCTTGTCAATTATCTTGATGGCCACCTCCTTGCCAGTGGGCAGGTGCTTGGCCAGCTTCACCTTGGCAAAGTTGCCCTTTCCAATCGTCTTGATGAGTTTGTATTTGCCGATGTGCTCCTCCGTGGCCCGCCATCGCATGGGGGCGCTACTCCGCATCTGCATGTTGGGGGAACCCTGCGAAAGGAAGACTGGAGTTAGTAGAGTTCTACATCAGGGTGGTCTGGGTGGTAGGGTCAAAGGTTTATCCCCGCAAGAACTACGCAGTTAAAGAGCACGGAAGGATTGGGGACAAGTGATATCTATTCCCGGAATAGGCTTGGCCCTCGATAAAGACACGATAACTGGTTTATGGTTGGAATGATAGTGATATTCAAGACTTCTTAAGACAACCAGGGGTTACCTGTGCAACATTGTTGCTGTACACAGTGCTCCGGTTGGACACCACGCTGGGGGCGTGCGAGGAGCGATGATGGCCCGCTGCCGGAGCTGCAGACCCGTGGCCAGATCCCGATCCTGATCCGTGACCCGAAGTGGACCGCGGATCTACACTGGCTCGTGTCGAGCTGGCGGCCGGGGTCACTGCCTCCGATTTGTGGGAATTGAAGGGCGGAATGGGTGCCACGATGGGTCGCTCCGAACGCCTCTTGGAGCTGGCAGAAGTACTGCTCGCACCAGAAGCCCCCGATCCTCCTGAGGAGGCGTGGCGGTGGGACTTCTGGGCCAGCAGAGCTTCAAACTGGCGAAGATTCTCCTCGCGCCGCTTGGCCGCCGATATGGTGGTGGCCGTCAACTTGGACGGAGCCACTCCGTCCACGACACTGTTGCTGCTGCCGCCGCGACTTCCCGCGGACGTGGAGTTGGACGTCGACGAGGAGCTCCTGGCGGCGGGCGTGGGCGCAGGGCCAGCTGGTCGCCACACCGCTGGCTTCTCGTCGGCCATGTGTTGCTTCTGTTTCAGGGTGGCCCGCATGGCCAGCACCGTGTCATTGTTCTTCGTGTCGGAGGCGGTCCGGGCCAGCTTCGCCTTCACAGCACTCGACCCGCTGGAGGCTCCAGCCGAGTTCTTCGAGTAGGCTCCGATCGAGTTTCGTCCGTCGCTGCCCCGCTGGAACTCCGAGAGCATCAGCTCATTGCTGTCGTCCAGCTCCCCGCCTCGCCGGCCGCCCAAGTACTGGAAGTCGTTCTCCGAGGACATGTCACTGATTCCGGGCCGCAGGAGGTTCTCTGTTTCGCCGTACCGCTTGCTCTGCATCCGCTTGATGTCGGCCTTCATCATCACCTGCAGCGTGGACTGGGACTGCTGTTGCTGCTGCTGCTGCTTGAAGCTCTCCTCCACGTTGTGGATGTGCTTCTCGATGGAGCCGAGGGCAAAGGAGACGCCCGCATCGTCTTCCGTGGAGAGGAGACTGCGTGGCGGCGGCTTCTGGCGTTCTTTGGGCTGTGGATGGGGCTGCAGAGCGGGCAGGGCAGAGACCGCCACACGGGGCAGGGGCGCTACCACCTCGCGTCGTCGCAGCTCCACCACTTCGTCGGCGAGATCCTTGCTGGCAAGAAGTGTTCGGTCGATTTCCGTTTCCGGCAAGATGTTGTTGTTGTTGTAGGCGCTAGAGGGGGAGGATTCGGAGGACGATGAGGTGGTGGTGGGCGCCACACTGAGCTTGGGCGGTGCTGGGGCTGCCCCCTTGCGGGCGGCATAGAGGCGCACGCTCTTCCTGGTGGCATCGCCGCGATTCAAGTCCGGTGTCGTGGTGCTGCTGGTGGCCTCCATTGCTCCTCCGTTTTCAGTTTCTCTGCTTCCACTTTATTTTATTTTTTATTTTTTGTCGTGGCACTAACTCTGGTGTCTCTGTGTGCGTGAGTGTACTTGTTGCTTGGAGAGATCAGCTTTTTCTTTTTTTATATTTTTTTTTAATGTTTGCTTTGCGTGTTTATTGTTCTTACACTGAGAGTTAAGTTTGAAGGGAAAAATTAGTTTCTGCGCGCGCGTGTGAGTGTGTGGGTGAGAGTTGGAGCTTGAAGCTCCGCTTCCAAACTGCCTTTTTTTCCGAACCGAAAAACGGAAGTACGATACACCTGCCAAGGTGCATGTGTGTTTACATTTGGCTTTCTAAATTCTCGATGGAGCTCGGCCCTCTGTTTGTTTTTTTGTCGCCCAGCCAACACAACGCAACGCACAACAAGTCGCAGTTGTTGCGCATTAAAACCTCGAAAATGAATTAAATACACACAGTCAGCAGCAGGCAAGGCAGAAACTTCCATTTATATATATATATATAGAGAGAGGGGGGGAGGCGAGAGTGTATGCGTTATATTTACGACACAGGCGGACAAGAGCTAATCTGTCTCCCCGGTGACACTGAAATAAACACACTGCTTACACTCCTAGGGCTACGATGCGGCGGAGCGAGAGGGAGAGCTATATACCACACACACTCCCCAAACCGAGAGAGCCCCCCACTGGCGAGAGTGAGCAGGCAGGCAGGCAGGCAGAACGACCACCTCCACACACACACACACCTGTATCAGTCAGGTGAGCGAGTGTGTGAGTATGCGTCTACTCGACTCTCTCTCTCTCTCTCTGGTTCTCATCGGCTGGTGTGTTGCACAAGCTCAGCTGAGATGCTAGCTCTCTCCGCCGTGTGTCATGCTCCCCCGCTCCATCAAGCTCATTACGTTTTATGATTCATTTTGCTATTTTCCTTTGTTGCTGCTGTTGCTTCTGATTCTGTTATTGTTGTTGTTGTTGTTGCTTTAATTACTGTCTAAATAGTTACAATAGCGGTGGAGATCTACAAGTATCTGAAATTCGTTCGCTGGTTCAGTGAGCAAAGCGAAAAGCTCCACTGCACACACACACATGCACTCTCACTAATACAGGCACGAACACGCAGACACTGGCAAGTCGAAAGCAAATGAACTACTTTTAGACAATTGAGCCGACTTTTTCGTTGCTGCTGAATACAGTTAGGTTATATATATATCGTATATAGTAATTCCCATTCATCTGTGTGTGTGGGTTTCTTTCACATTTCGCGCAAATCCCGATTATTAAAGGTAGGGTAACCGCACGCTTATCTTATCGCAGGCACGCGGCTTTCGCAACTTTTCGCACTCGTTTTACGTGGGCCGGGGTCTGGGACGGGACGGTAGAGGACGGCCTCTGTAACTCTGACGTAAACGTAAACGTAAACTACAAATACAACTACAACTACACTAGCCAGAAAGACAGTTAGACACAGCTAGAAACAGCAGCTAGAGCTCAGCAGCCAACAGCCATTAGCCAACAGCCACTTGGCCACACCGCAGCAGCAAACTCAGCAACTCAGCAACTGGAACTGGAGTGCCGTGCCGGAGAAGCACGGAATCGGAATCACAATCGGTGACGACGGCGGCTGCGACGGTGGCGCTGACTGCGACTGAGCCAACGGCCTTAATACACCAACACACCACACACACACACACACACATACTATTAGACTCGCCCCGATCGGTGGGCAGCTCTCTATCATGGTATTGGTGGTGTTGATGTGGGGCCACCGGAGTACCTCTATGTATGTGTGTGTGTGTGTTCTTCACAAAGAGCAGCCCCGCTTGGAGCGCTGATTTATGAACGTGTAGGTGTGCCTGGTGGTTGGGTGTGTGTGTGTTGGTGTGTTGGTGAGACCCACTGATATCACCTGAGCGTAACGCTGAGAAGAAACTGTTAACTGTTTGCTGGCAGAGATTAGGGGAGTGCGCATGTGCGCAATACACCACCAGTTCCCACCAGGGTTACGCAAAGCGATTCTCTCTCCGATCTGGAGGCTTATTAGGTCCAAGTCCAAGTTACGTATTCCCCGGCTTTCTTATTAAAAGGAGGACTCTGAAGCCTCCTTATCTCTGGACCCTTTTTCTTGGTGATCTCAGGATCTTTTATGATCTTTTAGGATCGTAGTTCTCTAAGTAATGTTACTTCTTCTCCTGAAAGTTGGGTCATAGAGTGGAGAACGATGAGGAATTCTCTCCCGGATCTAAGGGCCGGCTTATAAGGTCTCAGTTACGTATCCCCCGCTTTCTTATTAAAGATAGGAACTGTTACAGGTTGTGTTTCTGAACAGATCCCAAGATCTGAATCCTTTTCTGAGTAATCCCACTTGCAATATCTTTTCGGATCATAATTCTATAATGGTCTTAGTTATTCCTGGCAGTTATGGCACTGGAAGTAGACCAATTTTGACCCAGGGGGAGGGGGATTAAAAGGGGATTCTTACCAAGGCTTAGATATTCTTAGAGAGACTAGATCTAGAGTCTTATAATATGTTAATTTCCTCATAACCCCATAGATAAGACCCGATTACAGGAAGATATTATAATATTTTGAATAACAAAATAGTCTACGACCTACATAAACCCTTTTACTTAGTAACCCTCTTATGAGATCTTTCTATATCATGATCCCCAATTTGTATTCTTTTCCAGGGAGTCTCATCCATATAAAATCCAAGATATATGACGTAACCTTCACTTCCTTATAAACCTTAGATAGGCCTTGATTACTGGATTATTATTAACTATTATTATTACTATTATAATACTTTGAATATCTAAACAGTTAATCATCTGAAACCTTTCTCTATATAATACATATATAATATAGTAATCCTCTTATAAAATGTACTTATATCATAGACCTCGCGATTAGTTTAATTTCTATTCCTGGCAGTTGTGTCATATAAGCTCCAATATATTCATATAGATGTATGAATACCCTTACATCCCTTCACATCTATAGTTACAATAGATAAGACCTGATTATAAAAAAATATTATAATATTTTAAATAACAAAATAGTTAATCATCTGAACCCTTTCTTCGAATAATCCTCTTATAAGATCCCTTCATATCATAGCCCCCGCAATGAGTATTATTTCTATTCCAGGCAGAGGTGTAATATAAACCCCAAGATATATAATATAACCCTAACTTCTATATATAATCCAATGTATTCATATGTATCCCTTACATCCCTTCACTTCCATAGCTACAATAGAGCCCTGATAAGCCTTGATTACAAAAATATATTTTAATATTATAAATATAATCTGAACCCTTTCTCTTAATAATCCTGTTATATGATAGCCCCCCATTAGTATTATTTCTATTCCTGGCAGTTGTGTCATATAAGCTCTAATATATTCATATATATGAATACCCTTAGGTCCCTTTACTTTCATAGTTATTTACACTAGATAAGCACTTATTATAAAAATATATTATAATATTTTAAATATAATCTGAACCCCTTCTCTTAATAATCCTATTATATGATAGCCCCCCATTAGTATTATTTCTATTCCTGGCAGTTGTGTCACCGAAAGGAGAACACAAGTCCGTCTAGTTAGTATCTTTTGAGGTAATCTCGTTTATTTGCGAATAATACTGAAACCCGTGTCGAGAAAGTGTGAAACGATATAATGGAATTCGCAAATAAAGCCAAAGATCTGTATCTGTATCTGTAGCGATTGTGATGCAACAGGACCTGAGAGCTAGCTAATTATGCAATTTAATACAAATCTAATGTATAAAGCCCCTCGTGCGCCGGGTTTATTGTATAATTCCTCTCACTTCCAGGCCTGGTGCGAAGGCCTGGACTTCAATTAACTACTCCGAGGTATTCTCGCAGCCCATCCGCTGGAACGGGTTCGGATTAATTGAGCTAATTGGATAACTCGCAGCTTAATCAACATTAAGCCCCGACTAGTCAGTTAGAGAGTCTAATGAGGTCAACTACTAAGCTATGAACTTGTCCCTGCTAGGCAGTACTGGGCCCTATATCCTCTGATCTGAAAAATCTGAAATAAAATAGAATCCTTAATCAAAACAATATAAAATTTCAATCGATAATCGTTCGAAACAGAAACAGAAACCCAAACCCGAAACCATGACATTTACAAACAACAACAACTAGTGACTAACTAGGCTAGTGATTACGATTAAAATAATGAGATTGTGGCGATAATGAGGGGGGAAAGGGGGCTGGTCAGAGGCCGAAATCGCAAAAAATACAACAACCCCCCCGAAAGTGGCAAGGTCATCTCCCACTGGGCTACTATCTCCCCACCCCTACCGATCGATACATACCCTCGAGGCTTTGGCTTTCTCACTGGACGAGGCAGACTCCTTGGTGGCCTTGGGCCGCTCCGCCTTGCTGGTGGCCACAATGGGCAGTCCACCGTTCTCGATCATCGTCACCACGATCTTGTTGTTGTTGCGACCACCGCTGCCGGCAGCCGCACCACTAGAGGAGTTCCCTGCCGCCGATGTGGCGGCACTGGCCGCCGCCAGGCTCTTCTGGTGCATGGCATTGGACAGACGCTGCTTCCGCTCGGCCCGGGCCTCCTCCTTCTCCTTCTGGAGCTTGGCGATGGTGGCGGGTGTGTGGCTCTTCGAGCGCTTGATGAACCTCATCAGATGGCTCTTGACATTGGTGGCGGCACTGCCGGCGACGTCGCCGATCTCCTCCGCCTTGGAGGAGCGCCGTGATATCTGCGCCTTGGTGGGCACCTCCAGGCGGCGAAAGGCCCCGTCCGCCATCCGCACGAAACACCCCTCCGACATTTTGTGAAACGAATCCGAGGGCAGCTTGTGAAAGTCTCCGTTGGGACTGCGGTAGTAGCAGTGATCCGTACGATGATACCCATCCCCCACGATGTAGAACTCGTTCCGCGACTCCTTGGGAGCGGTGGCGGCATCGGAGGAATCTGCGGCCAGATCATCAGTCTTGGCACTGCGATCCACCGGCAACTGGAAGGCCATTAGCTGGGTGGTGCTGCTGCTGCTGCCCCCCGCCGCCTCCTCGGCGGTGACGGGCAGGCCACTGCCCCCCGCCACCTGTCCCCCAGCATTGGCCGGCTTCAGTTCACTGATCGTCACTGGCCGGCGCTCGGGATTCTTGCGCATTATGCTGCCGTTGCGCAGAAGGGAGTCTCGCAACAGGGAGAGCTCGTCCTTGCGCAACGGCTGCACCAGTGTTGGGTAATGCTTCGAAGAGGTGGACTTGCGCGTCGATGTGCGCCGGTTGCCAAACTGGGGGGCTGCTAGTTGTGGCTCCTCCTTGTTGTTGTTGTTGTGGCTGCCACTGCTTGAGTGCATCTGCCGGTGACTCGAGGTCTGGCCCATGATGTTCGAGTATTTTTGCGAGTGGGTGGTGGGTGGTATCTCTCTCTCTCTCTCTTTCTGTCGGTGGTGGTGGTGTGTATTCACGGGGCACTGATGATTATTATTGGAACGGTTTCGGTGGCGGTTGTGGTGGCGATGGCGAAACTGTGACACATATTCCTTCGTTCCTTGCTCGGCCACATCGGCCTGAACACCGGGAGAGCACTTTCGTATAGAGATACTATATCTCTATACTATATAATATTTAAAGTCTGTTCAGTCGGAGGCACAATCACAATTTAGGGGCACTACTAAAGTCCATCTTGTTGAATTCTATTAGAGCACAATGGAGGGAGGGAGGGAGGAGAACATTGAAGACGCGACGCAGTCCAAGTCTCAAGCTATCTTTTTTTATCCACAAAGTAATAATGGCAATTTTTTATAATTAGCCATTAAAACTAGAAATATTTTAATTATTCTTCACATTTATTTAATTATTATTTTTTTAATTGCACTTTTTTTATTAAAAAGAAACCTGTTTTTATTTTCTCAGTGCATTCCACTAATTTGAATTATAATCTTTGCATTGCTTCCCCCCCTATTTTTTTATTTGCAAACTTGTTGCTTACATGACGCACTGGGGGTGGGGTACTGTGCTCGGTGGGTGGGTGGCTCTCTAACCAAAAAAAAAAAGCAGACACTTGTCGCTCTCTTATCAGTTATCGCACTTTACACTTGTGTGTGGCTGTGTGTGTGCGTGTCTCCAAAGACAAGGAGACAAGACACCTCGCGATAAGTTCCACACGGTCCACGTTCCAGCTTGGCTTCTGATGGAGACTTTGTGTACATGTGTGTGTTTGTCGGTGTGTGGATCGCAAGCCTTGGCACGCCCGATGGGTACGAAGGCGAAAACGCAGATACAGATAGATGACCAACAACAACAACAACAATAACAATAACAGTACAGAGAGACAACGATGAAGCCCCACACGTTGCTGTGAGGGGGGTGGGGGTAGGAGGTGGGAATAAGCAAAAGCTGTTTCTTTTGCGCTCCTTCTCACTCTGACTGGATGTTGTTGTTGCTGTTCTTCTTCTAGTTACCTCGTTTACGTTCTTTAAGCGTTACTTACACACACACACACCAGCTAGCTGCCAGTGTGTGGGTGGGAATTTGTTCATTTTTTTTTTTTTCCATTTCATTCCGCTTTCATTCTTTCGCTTGCACTACTACTTTTCTTTTCTTTTCTCTTTCTTTCTTTTTTTTCGTACTTTTATAATTAAATTAACTTATCACCCGCAATTGGCTCAGTTCTCAATGTATCTGCGAGATGCGAGTGGTATATCTCAAATCTCAAACTGGAACTGCAACACACACACATACACACACTTGAACACGGAACAACAAACACACACACACACACTCAGCTGGGCTTTATCCATAAATTAAAAAAAAGCAACACTATTTAAATGAATTTATTTTTAATCGAGAAACGACGGCACACACGTGCGTGTGTATTTTGCGTTTAGAAATTCCCGTGACCCCTGGCCGCCACACACACACACACACACACACATACCCCACCCACCGCCCTCCGAGCCACCACCACTCACTTGGAGCTCAATTGGGGCTTATTCTAAGCTGCGTACTCATGCCCTTGATTTCATTCTAAGCTCGCACTGATCAGATTAGCTTGGACGGCACATTTCTATAGATGCTCTTTATCTCGCGGATGTTGTAACTATTTTTGATTTGATTTGGGATTAGGATCACTACTGCGCTACTGCGCTACAGCTCGCTTCGTAATCTTTCTCGTGTTTTGCTTTGTTTTTAAATATATTTATTATTTTGACGTAATGCCCGTTTATTCGCACACCCGCCGCAGTCGCAGTCGTAGTCGGTTACCCTTGTGCTTGTGCGATAATAGGTGGTCACAATGGCAGAAGCGATTTATAAAAAAAAAAAGTTTAAAAATGGGCGAAAGCAGGAAAAAAAACAAAACCCGGAGTCAACTCATCGCTGGGCGATAACGATACAGAGCTATAGAGCTACAGACACGATATCGGTGGAGAGCGACGGATAATGACAACAACGCGCTGCGAACGCGACGGTGACCACACGAATGAAGTGGAACTTAATACTAAAACAAGCTTTCGACGGCCCGCCGCCTGGCTTCCAGTGTGGATGTTTTCTGTGTGTGGAAAGCAATTCTGTGGATGTGGCGAGCAAGCAAGCGTGCGAACAAGCCAGCAAGCTTGGCATTTTCTGCGACTACGATATATCGCCAAAGTTCTGGCTGGGAAGGTCGTTGTTGTTTCTCCACCGACACACCCTATAAACCGAATGCAGTCTGCAGCAGCACTAGCAGGTAAATGCAGGTGAATCATAACAACCTGCACGAATCTGAGCCATGGAGACTTCCAAAGAGACAAAGAGCTTTGGCAAAAGGGATCTCCCCCCGAAGAGCAGAGAGTTAGAGCTGAGCTTAAGGTCCACAAGAGATTCAAAGATTAAAAGAATGGCAAAAAAGAAATATGCAAAGCTTGGCAAAAATTAAGAAATCTACAAAAAAAAACTTGAAGAATTATTAATTCTTATAAATTATAATTACCCACGATCCCCCAATACAAAATCCACAAAGACAGCTTATGGAGCTTATATTACCCATACAGACACACAATTATGGATAAAAGCCCACACATACACACACTCTCTTGCAGAAATATTTAAAATCAAAACAGTTACATGTTTGTTTTGAGAGAAATCCCACGGATTTGGCTTGGAAATCGAAACAAAGAGAGAGGGAGAGTGGCAGAGAGAGAGTGCCATACAGTGGGGCTGCTATCGATAATGGTTTCTAAATACTATAATATATATTATTTGTGAATGGACCAGAGGAGACCAGAGAGACGGTTCTATTGACTCACTGGATTTTTGGAACATGTTGTGATTACTAATTAGCAAGTACTTTAACTTCTCAATGGCTTTCCATTAGCGGGAAGGAGTGTGGCTAATAGACTCCTAAAATATGACCCCATTTTGGTAGTTCCCACCCCCCAAAACAATTTTTAATTGCTTATACATCGAATTCGTCACCTCCCCTCCCAACGAGAAGCTGTAAAAGTAGTTATAGCAGGACATGGGACAATAGGGTGAACCTTTATAACATTTGGGATTAAAGTATCTTACGGATAATCACTCGAACTAAGCTTAAACCTTGTCATCTCGTGTATTTCGAAGAACTACATTACTCATACGATGGATCACCTGTGTCACCAAGTCGGATGAGCAATAAATCGACAAAAAGTGACTATAATTTGCCTCTAAAATCACAATCAAGTACAAAATATGATTCACCAAAATCATTACAGAGGCTCACCCTATAGACACTATACAGAGGCAGTAATGACCCAAGCCATGGAGCTATATAGAGATATAGATGACGACCGAATGTGGACACGGTTCCCCCCAGGGGAAGCGGAGACAAGGACGGGTTACAGAACATTCTTATCAACCGGAAACCGGAGGGGAGTGAGACTCACCTTGGCGGACGAGGTTCGCTGCTTGATGGCGGAGGGATGAGCCGAGTGGGTGCTAAGCACGTTCTTGTTAACGGAGGGCGCCACACCGCTGCCGGGGGCGTGATGGTGGTGATGGTTGATCGCCGATCCGGTCACCGCCGAGGAGTTGTTGCTGGAGAGCCGGGCACCGTCCGTGGTCATGTTGTTGGCCACATGGTGGTGGTGCTGGTGGCTGTGCTGGTGCGAGTGGTTGGTATTGGTGTTGGCCGATGCCACAGAAACGGGCGCCGGTGTCACCGATACCGATCCGGCTCCACCACCCTGACCAGCGACCGAGCCCGCTCCCGTGCCCGTGGACGCCCCCGAATTGGCCGTTGGCGTGGCTGCAGTACTGTTGTTGGTGGCCGAATTCGAGGACGTGACGGTTGGATTGGCGACTGACGTTGTCGTTGGTGGCAGTGACACAATGTTGGCATTGGCGGAATCATGCTGCTGCTGCTGCTGGAGCTGCTGCTGCTGCTGATCCTTGACTGAATGCGAGGATGTGCTGATCGAGTTGGTGGCGTAGGTGGCTGTTGTGCTGGAGACGGCGGTGCCCAGAGGCGCTACCGCAGTGGTGGCGCTCGACGCTGGCGCCGCCGGCGAGGCAACCCCCGACGAAGTGCCATTCGAGACGCTCTCCGCCGTCAGGGCTTCAGGAACTGGCTGCAGTGTGGTTCTCATTGCTGTCGACATATTTCTAAAAATCCAAATCCAGATATCTAGTGCTCTCCAGAGATTCTGTGCGACTGCTCAGTGCTCAGTACTGTTTGGTGGTTCACAACGATGGTGAGATTCGAGTATTTTCCAAGTTTGGAGTCTTTCGGGTTTCGCCACTTAAGATTAGTCAAATGCCCCAAGGGTGTCTACCATCTGTGTGGAACTCCTTCACATCTGAAAATAGATAAAGAAATTAGTACAGAGCACAGGTTTTTGAATCAAAATCTTAATTATAGATCCCCCCCTCCCCCAATAATTGCCAATCAAAAGTCATTACAAATAACAGCTGGGTTGGGGAATAGACTAACTCTTAAGTTGGTAGACAGATGTCTTTAATATGTATATATATATATATATATCTCTTATAATAAGTACTTAGTTCCTAACAATAGTCTGTTATTAAGATTAGAGTCTATATCTCTTATAGAAACAAATTCCTTTTGATTTTGTTCGGTATATAGTCCTCCGAGAGGAAGCCTATGACACTCTCGATTTCGGCCTTCAGCTGAACCTCCTGCAGCATGCGCAGTTCCTGGCGCACTCCCGCCTCCAAGCTGGTGCGAGCGAGGAGGTCATTGATTTTTTTGTTGTCGCCGGTGCCTAGGGCAACGGCACCTCTACCCAATGCCGGAATCTCCGAGGGGTGCAGGCCCATCCAACGCAGTGCTGGGGTGGTATAGCCCTGGCTGGAAAAGCTCATCGCCTGCGATCCGTGGCGGTAGACCAGCATTATCTCGATGCCAAAGGGATCCGCATCGACCAGAATGTAGGCCGGCAGGTGGTTCTCCTCCGTCAGACGATGCAGAATTCTCCGGGTGCAGCAGTCCGGGTATCCCTTGCCAGTTATCAGAATAAAGCGGCCACCGAAGGTGGAGAATATGTTCCTGGACAGGAGGCTCTGGAACACCGACTCCTTCTCCACAACGAGAACCAGGTCCGCCTGCGTCACCATGCGCTCCACGTTCTCGGGATTGGTGGGCAGGGCCACAGCTCCGCCGTACACGTTGCAGTCCAAGACACCGCCGTCGGTCATCTGGAACTGGATGTCGCCTAAAAGAGTAACCAGCTGTCAGTGGCCGAGTGGGTTCATCGCTCTGGCGGTCCAACTCACCTGCCACGAGGCCCTTGGAGGCGGCCAGAACGCCTAGGTGCATGGGCGAGGTGCTCAGCATCCGGCAGACGTCCAGCCGGGCTCTGGCCATCCGGTTCTGCGACCGCACCAGCTCCGGATCGCCGTAGTACAGGCCCCGGACGGTGTAGCTGCCGCCGTGCACCTGCAGGTTGTGGGTCCGGGCTAGGAGGTACACCACCAGGCAGAAGGTGTGTCTGCTACGGCGATTGTTGTACGACACTCGTCGGTAGTCCGTGATGGTGGGGGTTGAGCGGGGTATCCTCAAGGAGGCATCGCCGTTCACGAGCCCCCCCAGAAGCTCCAGTACAATCCTTTCGATTCGATTCGCGCACTCACTCATTGTCGGCTTATCAGGATTCTCATTAATGGAACTAATCACTTTTGGAATCACGGTTCACTTTCCCAAAATCATAAAAACAAAGATTATTCATACGTCACTCGGTCGTGCTCCCAACTATAGATGCTATATATAATATATATCTCTATATATGAGAGAGATTATGTCAAAGGGAGGGGAGGTTGAATAGTTGTTGCGAAGCCTTTAGTGCTTTATTGATCTGAATTAATTGAGGAGAGTGCCACGCCCCCACGCCACATCCGAAAGGGGCATGATTTTTGGAAAACTTTTGAGCTGGTGGGCTGCCCACCCACCCACCGACCTACGCACTGTAATATTCATAAATACGTAAGCAACTTACATACTTCTTGTTCTTGTTCTTCTTCTTCGTAAAAATAATATAATGATTATCACGTAAATCGTTGCGTGGAAACATTTCCGAGAGGGGGGGGGTTTATAAATAATTTCGGAAAGGAGCTTGCTGGCTAAAAATACAAACTACGCGCAACACAAAGATTCCCTTTCCGCGAAAACAACTGTTTTTTCAAAAATTGACACACACACACACACACACACTGAAGCACTCGCGAAGAGATATTTTAAATAAAATATTGAAAAAATAAAGAGAGCGGGAGAACGGGAGCGGGCGGGAGACAATTGTTCCATAAATTTATGTGAATTTCTTTATTCGGTCTTTCTTTTTTTTTTTTCTTTGCTTTTCTTTTCTTTTTTTCTTCTTGTATGTGCAGAAAATTGTACTCGTTATTACAGAGCACGCACACAGAGTTGGCTTTTATTTTATTTTGTCTTGGGCTTTTTGGGGGAGAGCGGGGGCGCTTTGTCTTTGCTCTCTCTTTCCATCTCTCGAAAGAGAGGCGGCGCAGGCTGGCAGCAGCAGTGGGAGCAGAGACAACGCCAACGAATGGGCCAACGAAGGAAAACTAACGAACGAAATGAAACGAAACGAAACGGAATGGCAGCCCCTTAAAGTATTGATTTGCTGACTCTTCTTATACTTACCAATAAAAATTATATTTCCGATCGGGCCAAAAAGGCGTACACATATGTATGTATGTGGGCAAGGCTGCTTTCCCACACTCCTCCCTCCTTTCGCTCCGCTATCCTCCGCTCCCAATAAGAGTTAAGAAACAACAGCCTAGGCTAGATGGGGGCTGGGGCCATCGATGTAACGCATTATTATTTAATTCGCTGCCTGCCGCTTTTTCCGATTTTCTTCAGAGTTAGAGGAAAGGCTTTTACCGACTTTTACCGAACGAACACACACACAACGAAGCGCAAATGCAATACATATCTTTCTCACTCGCTCACTCGCCAGCTCGCTAACTAGCTCGCTCTCGCTTCCTCTGGTTTTCAATAAGATTTTTCTTTTTTTTTTTTTCTTTTCTTTAACGCTGCTTAAATTCTTATCGCGATGCTCCAATACGGCCAGCGATTTTCTTTTACCAGATACTGCGATTACGAGTCCCGACCCTCACACTGCACACAATGGCCCCAACAGTCTTGTTGGCAACAAATTTTGCGCTGCTGCTGCTGCTGTTGCTGCTGCTGCTCTCTGTGAAAAGCTATGTATCCGCGATGGGGTAACTTGATATTGATATTTGGCTGGGCGGCCACTTAACGCCGTTGAAATACCGCTGGCGGGGCACCAATTGTCGATGACCGAAAAACCGAATCCCCAAAACACTTGGCAAACAGTTATTACTATTTTCCTATTTCCACTTCCACTTTGGCAGCAACATATGTATGTACGTCTCGGTCCAAAAAAATTACGGCAAGTGTTGCCAGTTTTTCCATCTTTTTGCCCAAACAAATATGGTAGTATCGTATTCGCCAAAATAAAAGTGTTTTTACCTTTGGTCACACTGAGACCGATTAATATATATATCGATGTTATCGGTGGGGTTTCCCTTATATTCAGGACGGAAATCCATTGCAAGATACGTTTTTCACAATAATTTTCAATGAAATTGCAGCATTTATATTATCCTCCTTTATTTTTAAGTGGTTTTAGTTTGAAATGTGGGAAGCCCAGCTGATAGTTGCAGTCCGAAGAATTATAATAATCCGGCATTATCTTGTCTTTATATTTCCTAAATATTTGTATAAAACGTAAATTAACAAAAGTTATTCAATTTAAAAAGAAATTAATCATTGCTTAAGAAAGATATTTTAAATTCAAATTTGATTGGAGCTGCCAACTTGGTTTTAGTTGGTCACCAGTGCTGCAAAACTGCCAAGTATGCCGCCAATTGAAAAGAAGATTTAAAAAATGTTTCCGAAAACAGATAACAATTATTTTTTTTGTCTATTTATTGAACTCCAAAGTAGCGGCATTTGATATCCTAAAAACAAATCCATTCCTATTTCTTTAGCAACCCCGCATCATTGGTAATTAAGGCTTTTAAATGAAATTTTAAGGACTTATTCTCAAATAATTAATTCTTGTAGGCGCATCCTCTAATTTCTGAGATTGTAATTCTCTCAAAGAGAGAAAAACCACAATTTATACAATTCTTTATACTATAGTTTTTCCTGAACTTAATTTGACCATTTCTCCTAAAAAATAATAACCTAGAACATTGATTTATACAACATTTTAGGATATAACTGTTTCAACAAGCTATAGAATTTTTTTTAAAATTTTTTTTAAATAAAAAAATTGTATTCCTTTTTAAGTGGCTTTTTTTTAACCCAAACATGAACTTGTGGCCCGGGAAATCACGCAACTTCCGGCATCCTTTCCGGCCAACCTTCGCCGCAGGTGCTTGGCTCCCAGTGGGAGAAGGGTGGGAGAAACCACTCCAACAACCGCACCCCCCACTCGGTCGTCAAATTAGCAGACAGCACTGCAGCCAGTTGAAACTTTTATATATATGTCTGTGCATATATTGATATAATGACCGGATAATTCCAGCGACAGCAGCTCACACTCTGGCGTTTTAACTTTTCAAACGGCTGCCATAATTTTCATGATAATGGCTTTGCGTTTTAAATGGAAATTTACAAATCAATAACTTTTAGTGCTCCGTGCAGGTGGAGGTCCTGGGAGCCAGGGCTACCCCTTCAGCCGGGTTGCCATAATTATACACGTCGCCTGCTCTGTCGCTGCCTTTTTGTTATTGTTTGCACTGAAAGACGTTACCGGGGCTCTCATAAAGCCGTCAACCGGCCCACAAGGTGGCAGTGGCACGATGGCGAACGTCCGCACGGAAACCAAAAATCCAATAAGCCAACTTGGTGTGTGTGAGCGAGGGTTTGGGCTCCTGGCCTTGCGTGCCCCGCGATGTCTTCGGGTCAGGAGTTCAGTTCGCATTCGTCAACCGTTGCTTCAAGTTGAAATGAACGATGGCCAATCCTCGGGCGAATGTATTTCTCCTGGTCAACCTTGGCTGCGAGATGCTATACGTTATTGACCAGAGGTTGAAGGCACAGAATATTGCCGAGGATAAATCGGTGCAGGGTAAGAATGAACTCATAATCTAAGCTACAATCTAGAAAACACGTCATCATAACTTGTACTCGTAGTTATAGTTATAGCTTTAGGAAACTTAGTTCTTCTAAGAAAACATCCTTCAGTCTAGTAGCTCTCAAAAATTATTGAAAACATTAAAAAGCCTTTTTGATTAATATAATTTTTCTTATTAAGTTATTCACGATATAACCACGGTGATGTTGGAGCCCAAGTTTATCGACTCTCTGCTCAATGGATCCAAACACACGAATGCCCAGCTTCTGACTGCCGAACACTGCAAGTTCATGCTGAACGACATCGCCACCTGCTCCTTGATGCGACTGGACGAGCAGTCGATGGCCAAGCTGTGGAATCTCATGACCATGGTCTACAAATGGCAGCTGTTTGTGTCCCGTCACCAGCATCATCTCCTGGAGATCACCTTCCGGCACCTGGAAGCGATCAACAGGCTTTATCCGGATGCCAAACGACATATGCTGATCGATTTCACAAAGAACACCCTATTGGACTTTTGGAATGCCAGTGGGGAGGAGGCCCAACAGTCCATCTATCAGACGAATCGAGCCTGGCTTCAATGCTTCAACACCAAAATATCCCTGCTGATCCGTTTGGGTTTCCAGGCAATGGATGGCAGCTTCATTCCTGATGTGGACCAGGATTACTTTGAGGACTACGTCCAGTCGGCTGGGGACAATATTTACATCAAAAGCGCCGAGCAGCAGGAGCAGCGGGCCAAACGGGAACCCAATAGCATGGACCAATTGGCGGCTCAGCTGAATATCAATCCCTCGTCCGGCGAGGATCTGCAGCCCATTAACGCCCGCCAGTTCCAGCAGCAATTCGAACAGGCATTCGGCAACGTGCTCTTTGACGAGCCGACGTCCACATCCAGCTCCTCCGGATGCGAGTTTGTCCAGCTGCAGCCCACAACACCGTCGGGTGAGTGCAAGGGTGGCACATCGATTCTGAACCAGAACCTGCTCGACTTGTACAGCAAAATGCACTAGCTGATCTAGTGGGTTTTTGTTAAATAATTATTTAAAAAAAAACTCAATGATTTGTATAGTTCTCGTTTCTTTTTTTGTTTTGTTTTCATCGAAGACATTGTTGTGATCAAAAAATAAATCAACGTTAGAATTTTGAGCTTGCGACTTGTGAAATATGGGGGGCAGAGAGGGGAATATGGTGCAGGGTAAAATAGAACCAGGGGTCGAAATGTACAATTACAAATATAAAAAATTAGTGCATGCTGCCTATGCTACAAAACTTATGGCAACAACATTAATAGTTATCAATTACTCTCCTTAATTGTGTGTCTCTTGCTTAATACGCTCTAGCTGTCAGCAAAGGAAAAGTTCGTCCGTGGTGGTGGCGGCGGTGTGTTAGTTGTGATGGTGGGCAGGTTCCGATTACATCTTCGCCTTCAACGGCACTGCGTCCACCATGATATGCAGGGCCATCTTGAGGCACTCCTCCGCTGAGCTGATCTGCTTGCACGGATATGCATCGCCGTATTTCGTAAGGAAGTCACAATACTTCCGGTAGTTGCTAACCGCAAAATCATAATTGTAAGCACCCAACGACTTCATGTCCGGATCGTCCGTTACCAAAGGTACTGACGCCTTGTGCGACATTTGGAGAAACGTCGGGTAGTCCAATTCGCATCCCTCGCACTTGCAGTCGAATCTATATTGCATGGAGAGAGTGTCCTGTCGCTGCTGCTTGTTAAAGATGGCAAAGTGTGCGCTAAAAGGACAAAGATGATCATTTAAATAAGATTCTTTGAATGGGTTCGTCCAATTTCTTACCCATAATTGTCGTAGAGAACTTTGCCCGCTTTTATCGGCCGCAAAACGAACAGGTATGCCTTGGTCCCTTCATATATTCGCAGAGTGTTGGGCGCACACGAGTGGTTGATAAGGGAGAGGAAGGCATAAGCCCCAGAAGAATGCGTTTGGTCGTCCTTTGTCTCATTAACCTGCTCCACCAGATCGATTCCGAACATATTCGAGGGAGACGTCTGCAGGTGTCGGAACAGCAGATCCGTGAAGAAATTTCGGCCGTCTTCGCCCCCTAAATGGTCCTTGAGCGGCGTATATTCGATGATGAAGTGCTTCATTATGGCACAAACCACGGAACGCTGGAAGAGATCAGAGACGGAGCGTAGATGTTGGTTGGTCACCAGCCCGTGGATGGCCCGGTACTGCTCCTGCCGCGTTAGCTGCCCATAGTCAAGGTCGAAGGCGCATTTGTGCTGGTTCTCCGGTTGTTCACAGAAGGCCATCAGCTCTTCGATGGTCGGATAGAGGTCCAGGGCAGCAAGCGTGGTCCGGAGCGCGATGCCGTGGATCTTGTTGAACATTCGGTGCAGAAAATCAATTATCGGGCATTCAAAGCGATGAAACGTAGACATTGCCTGTTGTTTACAGTCTTCCGAGCAGAACATCACGGAGCAGCAACTGTCGCAGGGGATGAGGGTCAGGTAGTTCTCCCGTTTGCAAGTGGCGCAGCGGATATACCGCATGGGCGTAAGTAATGTGGAGCAAAAAGGCTGTTCCACCGCTACTAGATCACCGACGACCAAGTCGCGATTGGTTACTATAAACCGGCCTTCGTCGGCGGACTCTCGCAGTTCCAGGCAGTCGGCGATGTACGGCACCTGGGCGTGCGCTTCGAAGTTCATCTTGAACTCAATGGGAACCACGTCTGGCGGTTGTTGTTCCAGCAGTTGTTGGCAGTCCCGTTCGCGTTTGTCCAGCTTGTGGCTCAGTCTTGCCGGATAGTTGGCCTTCCGGGCTAGCTCGATGTTGGCCAAGCACTCCCTATAGCGTTTCCATTCAAACAGAACCGCAGACCGGTTGGCGTAGCCTATGGACAGGTGCTCTGAATTGGGTTCGGCATAGCATATGCTTTTATTGTACAGCTCCAGGGCCTAAAAGATGTTTCATAAATATTAATTCGATAAAATTGGAATTTAATTCCTCATACCTGAAAATATTTTCGATTCTTGAGAGAGAATTGCTCGTTGCCAAGCATCCTGAACTCCACACTGCGCTTATTGCACTTGTCCTCCCGCAGCGTTACGTTCAGGAAGATCTTTTCCATGTACTTAAAGTCAATTAGCGCATGCTCCACAAAGTTAACCTTCGAATAGTTCTCCTTCAGCTCGTTAAACTTGCCGGAGATGATGCTGATTAATTTCCAGTCATTCAGCTTTTTGACCAGATCGTCGCTCACGTCGTACACGTCCATATTGAGTTCCTATTGCCCCAGTGTAAGGTGTCAGTTTAGTTCCGACCTTGCAGATTGCTCCGGACGGATCCTTCCGCGTGTCGACGCCGCCGCCTGTTTTTTTCAGCCGCAAAATCGGTTTGTTTGCCCCTCTGCCGCTGCCGCGAATTTGGTGGCTGGCTCACTTGCTAGCCGGTAATTTGTGATTTCACAGATAATTTCGGGTCCGCGCAATTCCAAATATCTGCAGAGCGATTAAAATGTTATTTATATTTCCTGGCCAATCTCCGCTAGAGTTCGAAGAGATGGCATTTTTTCCGATAAATTACTCTATCGAATACGTAAATATATCGATATGCGGGCAAGCATGCACTTTAAGAGTAGTGATTAAAAACGCTAAAATTTGTACCAATTAAAAAAATTGTATTAACTAAATATCCATTGATGTTGAATTAACAGATAGAAAAAAATTCCACATCCAATATACCAACAAGGGCTAAATATTCTTTGTCGTTAAAATTGTGGCCAATTTAATAGAGGCCAAGTTTCCATAGGAAATTTGTGAGTTGTTTGAAATCCCCAGGAAAGATAAGCCACTGCTTAAACAAATAAAGAACACATTAGTTTTTCGTATTCATAAAATATATTTTCATAAAAATTACCCGCATTTCAATTGACCCGCTAACAAAGAGCGAATCGGTTCAAAACAAATCGAATAACGATAACTTTTTCTGTTCAGTGTTCAAAAATTCCAAAATCAAATAATTCCACAGTTGAATATATTAAAACAATGTTTTAAAGACTGCGCTGTTTATAGTTTTATACATAATATTATTTTTTTAAATATTGTTTTTAATGGTCCTATAAAAATGGCAAAAGTCAATACATCGAACAATGTAAAGGTAAATTAAAACTAATACCCGATACAGTGTTGCCAATTTACCCTTTTTTAAAACTTTCCTTAAACTTTTTGTTTAAAACTTTTTAAGGTAAAAATAATATTAAAATCTTAAAATCCCTTATTTTAGCAATAAAGCAAATAAATTGTAATGAAATTCTAGTTTTGAAAGCAAATAAGTTTTCAAAAACAGCTAAAATTAGCATCCCTACCTGACGTCCAGTCAGCAGCGCGCGCTGGCTGCCCAGCCTTGGCTCTGGTTTAAATTTATGGAAGCACTGATAAACTTATAACGTGTCGAGTCTGGATTCGGATTCTTCAAGAAATATATCGGTCGAAATATATTGTCTGAAAAGCATCCCCTTTGAATGCTAGGCACCCGGCATTCGGTTCAAGTTGAAGGCAAGAGAATATTATTTTTAGCCAGTAGGCCAGAGCTAAGTAGCCACCCGTGTATTTTATTTTTTCGTCTGCGCCACTGCGAATAAATCAAACAGTTTCAAAGCGAAAGAACAACAAGCTGAAAGGTAAGTAAAAATAACTAAAAACGCGTGGGTGGAGTTATGAATAAACCGTGAAGGGGTCCATCATTACAGCATGCCTATCATTCGGCTTGAGTCTTCCGACAAGGAGATCTTCGACATCGAACAAGAGATTGCCAAGTGCTCGGAGACGATTCGCACGGCGCTCGAGGATCTGGGCGATGAGAGTGATAACAGCGTGCTACCGCTGCCGAACGTCAACTCATTGATCCTTAAGAAGGTTCTCCACTGGGCCACCTACCATAAGGATGATCAGCAGGTGACCGAGGAAGATGAAAACAAGGAGAAGCGTACCGATGACATTTCCTCTTGGGACGCCGATTTTCTGAAAGTCGATCAGGGCACTTTGTTCGAGCTCATCCTAGCGGCCAATTACTTAAACATCCAGGGCCTGTTGGATGTGACCTGTAAGACTGTGGCCAATATGATCAAGGGCAAGTCGCCGCAGGAGATTCGCGACACGTTTACCATCAGCAACGACTTTTCGCCTCAGGAGGAAGAGAAGGTGCGCAAGGAAAACGAGTGGTGTGAGGAGAAGTAATGCGTTCAACAAAAAAATTGAATCTGATAACCAAATTAGAACACCTAAATTTTAAAACATGTAAAACGCACTTTTACGTAAAGTCCACGTAAACCATTTTGTTTATAAAAAATTCTAAATAATGTTAAATAAACTTTTACATGTGGCTTATGTACCTTGCTTATAATTGATATCTGGAAGACCACGTAAACCATTTGTTTAACTCTGTCAGTAACTTTTAATTATTTTCAACAATCATTTACAAATTTGATCAATAGGGGATTAATAAAGGAATGTATGGGTGATCATCGTAGAATATCTAGTAATATTTTTAGGAATTTGCCGAAGGCAGCGATTGCAAGACTGCAGATGTGGCCCACGATTTCAAAGAGTTGATTAAATGTGTCTCCAAAGTCCAATTTGCGCAGGAATTGGAACAGGAACAGGCCAATCACCACTATGATCACAGGCTTCACCAGGGAGAGCACGAATCTGACGCTGAATACGAGTACGTACCACGACACCAACAGAAGTATCAAGTATGCAACCAACTGGCCAAAGTCAGTGGGTATGGACACGTTTTTGGCAATGAAATCGTAGAGAAGTGATATGGACGGTCCATCCCGCCAGTCTCCAGCTTCAGGCGATCTTTTATGACAGGTGCTCGAATCCATGGCAGTGTTTGGATTGACGTAGACTTCTGAATGATGTTCTGAATAGGTGAGCATAGCCTTCTAGGTTTTATAAACCAAAAAGGGCATTCTGTGATTCACACAAATCTTGGGAAAATTGTAAACAAAGTCCATGTTGTGAAATCAGCTGTGGGGTGTGACCGTATAACTGAAGCTTTTGTCATGAAAGATATATTGTTTCCACTGCCAAGCTAAATAATCTAAAGCCTAGTACTGAGTTGACGAAAATCCGCTGTCCAACGAGTGACAGCTGTCAAACTCCATATAAAAAAAACGGTGGAAAAAAGGAAAGAAGAAGAAATTTTTGCCTGCTAGATTTTGCGGGTACTGAGTTGACGAAAATTTTTGTTATCGATGTTTATCGTGTTGCCGGATCAAAAAAAATAAACAGCTGCTCTCGGGGAGGTAAAATAAATAGTTCAAATTATTTGTGTAGGAGCGACATGGAGGGTCAATTGACCAAACAAAAAAATAGTCGGCCCGAAACATTTTCGACGCGCCAGGACAAATTAAAATGAATTTCTGCGGTCAAGACGAAGCCCATAATATGAGATTTGACCCACAAGGGGCATTTTTTTTTTTTTTTTTGTTGTATTAAGTTACTTCCATCCAGGAAATTGGGGAAGATTTATTTGGCCGTCCCGAAGGGACATTTTAATGCCATAAAATGGCATTGAAATGATTTGTGATTGATTTGGATTTTGATTTTGACCCAGTTTTCTATTTCTTAATCAGCTCCTTAGCGGCGAAATACATAAACAAAACACCAACATCCAATCGTTTTGAATTCATTTTTGCTTATTTGTTTTTTGTTTACAAACAACAGCTGTTCAGTATTACCTTATTTCTTCATTGTTTTGGTCACACTACCTCGGCAGCCGAATAAAGTGCAATTTCGCAAGCGGAATTTCAAGAGCGGATTTTCGTCAACTCAGTACTAGGCTTTAGTTTTAAGGGGTTATATACCTTTTTTTTCTTCAACAAAACGAAAAATTTTTTTTTGCTGAATCCTAAAGTATATCCCCTAGAGAATATTTTCCCAAAGTTTCATGGAGATCCTAATAATAGTTCGATAGGAAAACAGCGTTTTGAGGCGCGGTTCGTCACGGCTGCGGACAGCGTCAAGCTACTTTGAATGCGATTATCTCAAAGTCGTGTTTTTCCAAAAGTGCCTTCGCTGTGACCACGATTACACAAGAACTATTTGATCGATCTTCTTCAATTTTTTTTTAATTATTCGTAATGATTGTGCCGAGTTCGTGAACGATTCAGTTTTTTTGTGTCCATTTTAATTTCGCAGATAAAAATTTTTGAATAAAATGTTTAGAACTGAAAACATCAATTTTTTGGAAAAATGTTTACGGTATGCAGAAAAAACCAAATATTCTTGAAAATAATCGTTCACGAACTGGATATAATATTATACTAATAACAAATTTTTGGTTTTTTGATTTTGGTTGACCTGCTGGACTTTTATCGTGGTCACCGCAAGCCGCTAGAAAAAAAAGGGTTCCGAGAGAATTGCCATAACTTTGTAAATTGTTTATATTTTTTCAAGAACAAACGCTTATTGTTTCGATCAAAATATGTACTATCAATAAAAAATAACTTCAGTGTCATAAAATAATTGCTACACACCTAAAATAAAAATCCAAAGTTCCCTCAATTTTTTCGCTCTAAAAGGTATATAACCCCTTAACTATATAACGATTAATGTTGTTTACTTTAATCAATTAATGATTAATGATTTTTGATACTTAAACTTAAAACAATCATACCCTCTCCAAGGGTATAAAAATTCAATTAATTAGACGTTTTTTTTAATTTATAATACTTACTTGATTTACTTTTACAATAACATTTAGTCACTTTTAATTTAATCAGCAATTTGGCAACTTTTATTGAGACAAATGTTATATGCGATTTGATTACTTCTAATTACTTTTCCTAAGTTGCCATTAAAGCCAATAATATGACTCCCTCACAAAGTAAGAGCGAAGCTAAAGTTAACCTGGACATAAATCTTTATGGGCGACCTTTCAACTCGGCTGCTGTGCATTGAACTGGCTGCAAATTTACCAAAATCCAGAGATGCCCCCAGGACCAATACCGCAAAAAAAATTGTAAAAAATATACTCGTAAGATAGCGAAACAAAGAAGAATTTTCCTTTTCACTTTAAAATATACACGCATGTATGTATGTATGTACGCATGAACAAGATTGGTAAGCTATATTCGGTCTAAGCTAAAGCTTATGATACACTTTAATAAGAAATGGAAAAATTATTTCAGTGCCATTTTACATATATTTTTTTCAGGGAAATAGCCCCAAAGAGGTCAATTCTTAACCGATCGTCGAATGGTATACTTTCCCAATCTTAGAACTCCGAGTAGCATAATTTTCAATAAAAAAATGGCATCACAAATTTTGACCCATTTTTCGAAAAATTTTAAAGGGGTAACATCATAATTTTGCCCAAAATTTTACGAAAATTTTTTTTCGAAGATTAGGTTTATCGTTTGATACAGATTGCAGGAGATTAGAGTCTTGATTCATAATTGGTATTCGGTTTTCCTATCGGTTGCAAAATAGTGAAAATATTTCATAAAAAGTGTATAAAAAGTTCGGATTTTTTTCAAATAAAAAAATATGAAAATCACATCGCATTTTTCCACTTTTCCTAATGGAAAAATATTCATAACTTGGCTAATATTTGGCGGATCCACAAATGTTATACTTTCCCAGTCTTAGAACTCCGAGTAGCATAGTTTTCAATCAAAAAATGGCAACACAAATTTTGACCCATTTTTCGAAATTTTTTAAAGGGGTAACATCATAATTTTAGCCAAAACTTTACGAAAATTTTTTTTCGAAGATTTGGTTTATCGTTTGATACAGATCGCGGGAGATTAGAGTGGTGATTCATAATTGGTATTCAGTTTTTTCATCGGTTGTAAAATAGTTAAAATATTTAAGAAAAAGTGTATCAAAAGTTCGGATTTTTTTTACAAAAAAAAAATATCAAAAACACTTTGAATTTTTCCACTTTTTCCCAGTATTCCCATTAAAAACCTTGTCACAAAAATGAGATAGTAGAGTTTTATATTTAAAAGAGTATATAAAACTTGCAATAGTAAACCAACAGATATAAGGTCTTTGTGCTGGAAAAAATAATTTTTTTTAATAAAATGAAAAGCAATTTCCTTTTGCTTTGAGCTTCCTTGACTCAACGTGCTACACCCGCTGGCGAAAAAATTCACATTTTAGTGCTGCGTGAAATGGGCCACACAACAAATAAATTGGAATAAAAGGCCAGAGCTTTGATTTTTTGAGTTGAGGAAGATCCGTGGGTGTGAAATGCAGGACATAATTTAGTTCGTGCTGTAGGCACTTCCACCGAAAAATGCAGTATTATTGTTCCTGTCTGCAAGACATTATTAGCCATGCTCTTTGGCTCCGTCCTGAGCTTTGGCCATCAACAAACAAAAGGGGACAGTAGAAACGGGCTGAAAGTGCAAACAGATGTCCGAGTTTTCTGCAGTTGCACTCAGGCTCGAAACGGAACTTCGGAAAAAGGACTCGACTCTGTGCAACTGACGGGCTGATTTTAACACAAGGATACTGGCGACCCAGGAGGATAGCCGGCATAGAAACGACCTCAGACTATGGGTATTTATGCACATGTGTAAGTGACAGTGATGTTTACCTTTTTGGTTTTAAAAACATTAATAGAAAATATATGATTCTGTAAAATAAATTAAAAAAATGTAAAATAATATTCAAAATAAATCACTATGTTGAAAACACCATTAAGGTAAGACCTTCTGTTGCAGAAAATTACTCATACGCCATGTTGTTCAAAAGTAGTTATCTGGCTTTTTTCCTGCCTATCATTTGTAAAAAGAATGCTAAGCTGATTTATTAAATATTTATTATATTATATTTTAAAAAATGTGCCACCATTTGTGGCATCACTACTGTTTGCTAGAGAGTGGCCGTGTGTGTTTGACGTGTTGAAAGTGCAACATCTGTGTCACGCCTGGTCTCTGTAAACGACAAAGCGTGCAACAGTACAGAGGTGGTCGGCAGGAAGGGAACTAGTCCAAGGGATAAGGGCACTGCGGAGACAACGACAAGCTTTTCCGCCAGCTTGTTATTATTTCTGACTTTTGTTGCTGACTTCATAAACGTGTTGTCCACGTGTGAGTGTAGATTTGTTTGTTTTTGCCGGATCTTTTGCTGGAGCGTTTCCGCTTCCTTTCATTTGCCATTCCGCCCACACTGGCTCCCCATCTCTGGTGCTATATTTTCATTTGCCATGCAAGCTTTTGTTTGGGTATTTGCGTGACTAATTCTTAGAGACCTGAATATTTTATTGTTTTGCAATTTTTTGTCGCCCTCTTAAGATACGAGAGCTTAACTTTTAAAATGTTTTCATTTTATCCTTTATTTTGCTTTTCATGTAGCTACAAGAGTGTTT